GTCCCGGGTTCGGTAGGAGCCGTCCTTCTTCATCGCCGTGAAGAACTTCTCCTCGATACGATCCCACATCGCATCCTTCGTTTGCTCCGTACCTTTAAAAATGTATTACACAATTTTTTTAGACACCATTAAATATAATATATAAAAATAAAAACATAAATATATTACAAAAAATAAATTTTTAACCAATGATAGGATGCTCGGAGACGTCAACCCAAGCCGACGCCAATATGCACTCCTCCTTCGGCGTCCACTTTTGGATTGACCGTGCCGCCTCGGTCAACGTGCTTTTGGCTTTGTGGCTTTTCCGGCGTGTACTTTTTTTCGAACCGGACGGTTCCGGTTGAGTCTCCGGAACCGAATCTCGGTCGACGTACCCCGACTGTTGCGTCTCGTACATCGGCGGCCGATCGCCCAACTCTTGGTAATACCACATCGCGGCGTCGACGGGCACGAGATCGTCGGGAAAGAAGCTGGAGCCGGAAGGATTCATGTTGAATAGAGAGGGTGTAATTTCGAAATTTAAAATGGGAAGAAGAAGAGATTGAAGACAAGTTGTGAGAGATTGGGTGGGGTGGGGTTTGAATTTATAAGATTTTTTTTTTAAAATGGGGTGCAACGGCTTTATAGCCGTTAGGGGGGGAGGGGAATGAAATGACGCAGCGTCATTCCTTTGACGCTGGCCCGATCACGCCGGGGGGCGTTGCATGTATTACCAGTGCTCTTAGAAGTAAAAAAAATAAAAGAGAAAGAGTTTTTGAAAACGGAAGGAGTACTTTGTACTTAAAAGAAAATTTATGTATTACTCTGGCTAAATGATTTCCATTTTTTTCTTAAACTATGATTGTTAACATTTAAAAATAAAATTGTTACTAATACCGAGTATGTGTCGCAAAAAAATGTTTTGAATATTTTTGGAGTACATTAGACAAAATATATGAAGAGAAATAAAAACATCCTTATTTTATTGAACTTTAATGTATTTCTCAATATGTAAATTTTATTTTAAATATAAGTTAACTAATAAAATAAATTAAATTAATAATATCAAACATCATAAATTTTTATGTACAAACGAAAGGACTATTATATTTATTATATATAAAATAGTAATTATATATATATATACACACACACACACACACTCCGTATGTGTGTGTGTGTCTAATATGTTTAAACCACTAGTTTTACCACTTGAACCACTAGTTCGACCAGTGAATCAGTACCTCGACCAGTTCGATCACCGGTTTGGTTTTTTAAACTATAGAGACTTCTACCACAAGATGCCCAAAGCGAGGTTTCTTGATGCATGTTTTTTGTTGATGATATTGTACTATCAACGAGACTCATATTGGACTTAATGGTAGGTTGGCGTTGTGGTGTCAGTCCTTGAAATCCAAATACTTCACTAGGGGTGGGCGCGGTCCGTTTGGTATCGGTACGGGATGAACTCCAAAACCATTCGGTACCATTTTGTTTTGAAACGGAACGGTACAATACCATACCCATGCTCAAACCATGCCAAAAAAATGAACGTACATTACTTAAAGAATATTGAATTTAATGTATAAGTTTGTATAAAAAAACACAAGAATGTCAAATAAAAGTATTGACTTTAAATTTAAACGGATCATAAACATAAAGAATAAAAGATAACGAGTCCAAAGTTAAAAAATATATTTTTTTCCAATTCATATAATATCGGAATACCAATAACTATAAAAACATAATGCCAATAGTAATGATAAATATAACAACAACAATAATAATGAGAGAGTTTAAAAGTGAATAATAAAATACGAAGTACTCTATACACGATAAGATGAAATAGACAAATACTCCATAATTATTTGAGATACGTACTCCGTATATAGTGTTGGACAGTTCGGTCCGTGATAATCGGTTTTAAATATTTGTATCACGGTCCCGTCCCATTTGGTATCGGTTCAGTTTCGGTTCGTGATAAAAAAAATCAATCCCGTTTGAAAACACTATAAACAGTTCGGTACCATTACGGTCCGATATATATTCGGTTTTCTTGCCCACCCCTATACTTCACACTAAGAGCAACTCCAAAGGATATAGATAAATTGAGAATGTATATTGTGTATTTACCTTCTTGAAAAGAAAATATACCTTCTTAAAAAGTTAAAAATTCCAAGGGAAGATGGTAGATGGAGATGTAAATTTGAAGTTTGTTGCCTTTGTTTCTTCGTGATTAATTTTTTTAATTTAAAGAGTTTATAAAAACCCAACTAATTTATTAGAAAAAAAATTAGAATCTCAATTGTGAAATAATTAAATATAAATTATGTCTAATTGCACATGTAAAATATAAATACATGAGTAGAAAAACATAAAAAATGCAGAGTACAAAATCAAAAAACAAAATATCTTTTTTTTTGTTAATTTTTGACTCGTTAAGTTTTACAATTACAAAGATACAAATTTAAAATTTATAATAATACATTCTAGCAAAAATACAAAAAAATACAATAACTAAAGTAATTGACAAGAAATTTAAAAAGTGAAAAAAGTTGATATAGTCTCCAAATGAGGAAGGTAAATATACCTTTTCAAAATTGAAGAAGGTATAATGTCTTCTTATTTACCTCTCCCATTGGAGAATGATTTTTTAATAAAAAAAAGGTATATATCACAATTATTACTTCTTGTCCTCTCATATACCCCTTCCGTAGGAGTTGCTCTAAGAATGACTATGACTAGACCTGGCACAACAGAATCAATATCAATTATTCGAACATAATTCTCTAGAATCGAAGCTGAAATGATCCAAAAAATATAATGAAGATTTGATCTATAACCGAAGCCCTGAAATGATCCAAAACAATTATATCCAAATCAATCAGATCGGTTTCGGATTGGATTTATTCAGCTTAGATATACTTTGGACATATGTTATAATAGATTCGGTTCAGATCGATTCGGTTTCAATTTGGTTCAGATTTGATTCATTATTAATTTCCATACTTTTTTTTGTTTCGGTTTGGTTCTGAGTCGATTCAGATATAATAGATTTCAATTTTGGATACATTTTAGTTTAGATATATTTCGTTTCTGAATATAGTTCAGTTTGGATATATTGCGATTCTGGATATATTTCAGTTCAGATATATTTCGTTTCAGATATGTTTTGGATACATATTACCAGAGTATTTTCTAATTAAAATTTAAATATCTAAATTTCTTTTTTGTCATATCTTATGTATCAATCTATCATCAATTTAATACATCATACATCGTATTATTTTACATTTTATCTAATTATACTATATCCGCCCTAAATAATCTTCTCTTTTTGAATTTTTCATCATATTTTATAAATTTGGACTATAAATTACTCCGTGTGATATATCAAGCTATCACATCTACTAGTATCTTAATATTTTTAAATGCAAAGATAAAAGGTACTCCAAATTATTAAAAGGTGTTTCACAAAATGCTTATGGATACGTCTAGATGAAGTTTGCAAAGGGCCTAAATTCCAAATTTATACTTTAACTAGTATTTAACCCGTGCGACGCACGGGATCGAACGCATGTTATTTTTAACTCTGCTAATTTTTTGTTAAAAGTAAATAATTAAAAAATAAATATAAATATATAAATATAAATATAATATGGAATGTTAGATACGACATAAAGAAAGTATGCTAACTTAAATTCATATATATATAAAATTGAAAAAAACGTAAAAACGTATCAATTAAATCCAAATTTTTTGGAAAACTTCAGGGTAAACCACATTTTTCGTGCAATTGCATGAGTTACCATTGTCATCTAAAACTAATACTTTCAATCCTTTCTTAATTTTCACTCATGAAACTGCAACATAAAGTTGACCGTGAGTGAATACCGATTTGGTAAAAAATAATCTAACAAATGATAATGTTTGGCCTTGACTCTTATTGATTGTCATGCCAAAACATCACGATATTGGAAATTGTCTTCTTTGAAACTTAAAAGGTAATCCAAGATCTGACGATACCAAATTAACTCTTGGTATCTAAACTTTTTCACTGGCATTGTTTCCTGATACAACAATTGCACTGATAATGTTTCTTCGCAACTCTTCAACCATTACACTAACCAGATGTTTGATCAATGTTTTTAATAACATAATTGGTACTCCTTTCTCCAAAACAATCATGTGGTTTGAAATCCCTAAACATTTGATATCGTTCAAAAACTTAATCGTTATCTAATCACCATCTATGCCTATGTCTGAATTTGCTTGACACGAAGAATCAGAGAGCTCAAATACTCCATTTCATCTCCATCAATAAGAAACAAAACAAAATCATTGATCATTTCAACAACTTCAAGTGTGGGTGATAACAAATATATTTTATTTATTGCAATATAGATTTTCATAGATGAGCATATTATAAGCTCTTTCGAAGGTTTCTTTTTAGTTTTTACCTCAATGCCTTTTTTTTTGAACAGACAAGATTAGGTTTTCTTCTTATGGGTATTTCCCTACCCATAATCTTCACAAAAGTAATAAGAAATACTCCCTTCGTCCCAATTTAAAGCGTTTGTTTAAGTTTACGATATTTGATACTTCCTCCTTTCCTAAAAACACTTTCGTCCTAATTTTTTGCGCACTTCATAAAATACTTTTACTCTACCTAAGATGTCTAAAATACCTCCAAAACAACTTCTACTCCCAAAAAATTAGGACAGAAGTATTTTCAAGAATGAAGGGAGTAAAAGTTATTTTCAAATCATTTTGTACGTGATGACTTGACTATATTATTTTATCAAATAAATAACGATAATAAAAAAATTAATAAAGTTTGACCATGTGACAACTTAATTTGGAACGATGAAGTTGTTAGCTTAGAATTCTCTTCCCAAACCCTAACGTTATTCACGTCCATACACAGCCCCCCATCCACCTACTGCCAACGGGGAGGGCAGTAAGAAGTGATCAAGATGTATTGTTACCCCCTCATGAATTAATTCCATATAAACGACTCAATGTCCCCAAATTGATTTTACTGTCAATAGTGCATGTGCATCTACACTTCCATGTTACATCACTCAAGGGCCCAACAACCATGCATAAATCAAAGGAGATCAACTAAAACTAAATAACATACAACAAAATAATGTTACAACAGAACCTCACGGGCATCTAAAAATAACGTAAAAAGAAAATCGGTCTAATCTAAAACACGTAAATGAAATAAGAACTCTGAATATGTACATTCCCTCCCGGAGCCAGAAAACTATTGGGTTAAGGCAGTGCCATGGGCAGTTGAGGGGCTCACTTCCGGTGCATGCAAAGGTGAACCGTGTGGTTGTTGCATATTTGGCTCAAGCAGGCCAAGAAGTGCCAATGTTGACCTGTGCAATGTTGAACCATATGGACTACGTATTTGATTGTGTGGGCTGAATCAGTAGTAAAATATGTATACAACTGGCTGAAATGACACATAAATCATCACTCTGTAGAGTCTGGGTGATAAGAAATGTACCTTTGTAATGAACATTTAACACTTGGCTGGTTTGCAAAGGCAGCCAGAGGTCCTCGAAGATTTGGATATTTATTTAAAGCACTTTCAAGCGGGGTGGGTGGCAACTAAAAGCAGGACATGGGAGCTGTTAGAAAATACTTTTCATATATATATGCTGTAAAAATCTCTTTACGAAGAACACCCACATCACATTAACCTTGCTGGTAACTTGCGTACAAGTCGCTAGCATTTGTAAAGCATCACATTTTCTCTCTATCTTTAGATTTTGTTATGTTTTTATTATTCATGAATGTCTTTTTTCATTGGAATTAATATTATTCCCCTGGAGGAGCGGAGCATAGTTGCAAGATCAATGTGTGGCTTGCACTACATGTGAGCTTATCTAGCTTAAGCATTTACTGTGGGAACTAAGGTACTGCAGAATTTATTATATGAAACTGATTTTGATAACCGAAGAGTTTTTAAATCGCCTCAAATCCTATTATTCCTGAGTATAGAGATTCATTTTTGTTCCGTCTGAGATAAAACTGCACTGAAGGAAATCAGCGTCATTTGGCAACTCTAATGATCAACACACATATGCCTTCACGGCTTCACCAAATATTTTGAATCCCTTACATAGACCACATATTTAAGCAAGCTTAATCCTTATGATAAGCAAGCTAGTGTATTATTACTGCTTATTCAGCTAAGAAACATTCTCAACACCATTACAATTTTTTAATCCCAAACTTAGGTGGAACTAAATGACCCCCTCCAAAAAACAAAAATAAACCCAAACCAATATATGTTTCACAACAACCTTGAAAATAGTAAAATACCTGCAACAATACACCGAAGGAGTGTGGCTGTGTTTGTGAGATACATTTCAAGAAACCAACCCATAGCTTTGGCATTTTCCACACCTATGGCAAATGAAGTATAGAATAGAGTCAATTTCAAGTAATAAAAAGCATTAGCTCTTGCTTTTTAACAAGCAAGCCAATGCACAACCAAAAAGAAAGGTGATGTAATTCCACTGCCATAAAGAAATACCTGTCTTCTTACAAGTTTGGACATTAATTCCATGACAAAATCAACCTGAATATGAAGCAAACTGTAAACTAAGCTAGTAATGAATGACACAGCTGGCCTGGACACCAGGCAAGTATAGAATTACAGAGTATAGGTAAAATTTTGCAAAAAAGAAAAAATAAATTTATTACGGAGTAATTTATAAGGTAAGCTATTATGAAAGTTATTCCACAAATAACACTTTTTTCTTGCAAAGGAAAGCCCATCATTAATCTGTGTATTCAGAAAGTAAATGCAACAATACACTTATGGACAAGACCTAACTTAACCTATATTTGTAACATTACTCCCTGTATCCCAAAAGACTTTATCCACTTTCCCTTTTTGGATGTCCCAAAAAACACTTCTGACTTACTTTTTTCCATTTTTAGCAATGAACATGTTCTTCGCAAGATTTCTCTCTCATCTAAACAAATCCTAACCATTCACCACAAATCCTAAAGTCAAAGTGGGTAAAGTTTTTTGGGACAGTGAGAATATTTCTTTAGATGCTACTAAGTCAGTGGCCTCTATCAATTACATGTAAAACATGCATCTTTGCATTGTGGTTTGACAGACAAGGGTTTCGCAAGGGAACGCAAGTAGATTCAAGAAATTTTTATATTGTTGGAAAGTAAGTATGGTTAGAGAATCTAACATAAAAAAATATTAAGAAAGAATAACGAGTTCATATGATCATGTGTTAAACGAGGTAATCAATTAGATTCAATATTTTAGTGTATTTTGACCCAAGTGCCTTATGGTGGTGCAGTAGTGTGACTCATGCTCAATTCTAATTTTTTTCATGATATCAAAGCCAGCTTTGGACCACTTCAATTATCTTGAAGTCTTTCTAGAAGTCTATTGCAAGTGATCTCCGAATCTTTAGCCCAGTTTTATGTTTAAAAGTCTATTGCAAGAAGTTTGTAGCTCATTTAACCTAATTGTCCATTTAGACATCCACTCTTGGCAGCTCGTGACCCTTAAGGTGTTGCCATTTCATTTAAAGCTTTCATTTCATGGGAAAGAGAAGTCCATTTGCAAATGGCCAACCAATTAGATCCAAAATAGCTCAGATATCCAGTTGAGGGGGAGAATCAGAGAATTCAAAATATTTAAGAGAGAATAATGAGATCTTGATTTGAACTAACTAATTGACTGGATTTAATCTTTTAGTGTGATTTAGCAAAAATTTCTTATGTTCAGACTCTTACCTAACCCTAAATCCTATCAAAGTATATTCCTACAACAAATGAACTATGCACTGCATTTACTTAACTATGCTTGCTTACAACACTCATCTACATATTAAATTTTTCAACAAGTGTCGTGACAGACGAGTCGATTTATGAATTCACCTAAGCAAACCTCATTGAAATACAGACATTCAGAATGTGAATTATCTAAGGAAATTCATGTGCTAAATATGGGCACATGTGCAATTAAGTACTCCCCCTGTCCCAAAAAGTTTTTTACATTTGTCTTTTCTAGTTTTCTTGGTCAAATTTGATCACGATTTGTGAAAAAATATGTAGTTATTCACATGGTCAAACATTAACTCACTTTGTTTGCTTATCTTTGTTATTTATAAAATAATAGTCTTGTCACCTCTTATTTTGCAGAACTTTTCATGTAGTTTTTTACTATATATATTTTATTTTTAAGTTTAACACCTACAACCAAATAAATTAAAATGAAAATAAAGTCGGTCAAGTCTTGTAACGCGTAATGGGAAGACCTATGGGGGATGGATAGAGTATAATGTAAATTTAATATCATTGGGTTCATGTACAATATAATTATTATTGGTCAAACTGTCACAGTGGTGATTGCAAAAAGTCAAATGTAAAGATCGTTTTGGGACAGAGTATATTTTATGGTGACTAAGACTGACTGTGGATGACATGCAGTCTACAATAAGGTGTTGCGTGTGTCAGTGAGCAGTGAAGGGAAAATTGGTTTCTAGGAAGACCAAGAAGCAGAGTATTGTAACCCAATCTAGTGTAGTCTCAATACAGTGCAAATGTGCAATGGATCTTGCAACTTGTGAAATAATGTCGACGCACTCAATTCTGAAGAAGATTGGTGTAGAGATGAACATCCCCACAAGTGTGAAGTCAGCATATTGAGGGTGTATTAGAGTTGGACAATAAAAGGGATTGGCTCTCAACTTAAATTCATATTATGTAGTTATGTCTATATGAAAAAATAGGGTTCATGTGGATATTTTATGTGTACAGAAAACGTGTTTTCCTACTAAAAAGTCAACACACAATATAGTTTCTTCTGGTCATCCAAAGTGAGGCATGAAAATATTGTGCACACTGATGAAACACTTCAGATCAAAGAATCAGTTTAGGATGGCATGAGATGCCATTTACCAGAGTTGGAAATGCGTCAATTGCCTGGATTACAGTTCTCATGAAGAGAAGTGGAAGAGCAGTTTGATCAACCTGCAAAACGAGCATTTAGAAAGTAAACAAATGGTACTGATGATATGATGATCTCTTCCCCCTCCAAGTATTAACAAGCTTTTCCATACCATTTGATTCAAAGCCGTTGTCAAAACTTGTTGAGTGAAAACTGTGCGTTGCTCAAAGCAAGCTGAACAAGCCTCTGTGATCTGAACGTAACATGTTTTATACATTATGAGAATATCATCTATTGTCTGCTATTGCCTTACAAAGAAATTAGAAAGCACATCTGGTAGTCGAATAGTTGATCAAGAAAAGTGTAAACATCTCTCCATGACCATACAGGTGTCTTAAGTTAGTGGAAAGTTGTACGAGTACCTATATCTTAAGTGGTCGAAAAGATACCTTTTTTAGTGGCAGCCCATCTCTCTCAGGATTTATGTCATGGATGGCAACCAAAACCTCCGCTGGACTCAAGGCTGGATCTGTATGCGCAGAACCCTGCAATAGAACAGAAAAAGGCATAGAAGTTTGAAAATGCTCCAAGGTTATCATGAGGTTGTAATACATACATAGCAAAAGAGATGAGAAATGAGAATGCATAGGATCCGTTGGATTCAAGACCTAAGGGCTATTAAAAATACAAAAATCTGAAGAGAAAAAATAAAGAAAATGGGGTGGCATTATTGTAATGTGCATCACGACGGACCAATAATGTAAATTCTGCATTTCTCTCAGTCTCACTAAGAAACATTCTCATCTGAACCACACCCTGGGTTCAGTTCGGGTGAGAATGACTCTTAACATGAGAAATGAAGATGGTTCATTTTTGCTTCCTCATGGTGCATTCACGAATGGAGGACCGTAGGTGCCCCAATTGAAATGTTGCCGCCGTTTGGCATCAATAGTGTTGGTGTAACTTTAGATTTCCTCTCTCTCTCTCTCTAAATATATATATATATATAACACACACACACACATACACATACACATATATACATATATATACATATATATACATATATATACACACACACACACAACAACAACAACAAAGCCTTATCCCACTAAGAAACATTCTCATCTGAAACACACACGCCATTGCGCCCTATCGTGCATCATATCTACTGTGAGATTGTTCACGCAAAGGTCTCCCTTTTGATCAATGCTTGCCAAGTCCTCTTAGGTCTACCTCTTCCTCCAGCCACATGCCTATTCACCATTTGATCAACCCTTCTCACGGGATGCTCTATTGGTCTTCTCTCCACATATCCAAACCACCTAAAATGAGTTTCATCATTTTTCCTACAATAGGTGTCATTCTAACTTTAGCTTTCATAGCTTCATTCCTTGTTCTATCCATACGCGTATGACAGCTCATCCAACGAAGCATCTTCATTTCTGCCACACTAACCTTGTGTTCATGTTAACCCTTTGTTGCCCTGTCCCATACAACATAGCTGGTCTAATAGTAGTACGGTAAAATTTTCCCTTTAGTTTTAAAAGTACTTTTTTGTCACATATAAAGCTGGAAGCACTCCGCCATTTTGACCAACCCGCTTGAATTCTGTGATTAACATCATCCTGTATTTATCTATTGTCTTGAATGATACACCCAAGATATCTAAATCTCTTTACTAGTGGTATAGTATTTTCTCCAACTTTCACCTCGGTGTTATCGTCTCTCCTTCTATTGCCAAACTTGCACTCCATATACTCTGTTTTAGTGTGACTTATACGCAAGCCATGCAACTCTAAAGTCTGTCTCCACGAATCCAACTTCTCATTCAAATCCTCTTGTGATTCACTCATAAGGATGATGTCATCGACAAAAAGCATGCACCATGGTACAGATTCTTGGATATGCTTGGTAAGAACGTCCAATACTAGTGTAAAAAGATATGGGCTTAACGATGACCCTTGGTGTAATCCTACACCGATGGGGAATTCCCCTGTTATCCTAGTTTGACTTCTCACGCTCGTTGTAGCCTCCTCGTACATGTCCTTATTCCCACGAATATAAGCAATCCTTACTCCTTTTTTCTCTAGCACCTTCCACAAAACCTCTCTTGGTACTCTGTCATATGTCTTTTCAAATCAATAAAAGCCATGTGTAGATCTTTCTTTTCACTTCGGTACCTCCCCATCATTCTTTTCACTAAGTATATAGAATTTGTAGTCGATCTTCCTGGCATAAAACCAAATTGGTTCTCTTAACACCGAAGTCTCTTGTCTCAACCTGTGTTCAACCACTCTTTCCCATAACTTCGCCGTATGACTCATAAGTTTGAGCCCACTGTAGTTTCCACAACTTTGAATATCTCCCTTATTCTTGTAAATTGGAACCAAAATGCTCTTCCTCCATTCGTTAGGCATCTTCTTAGATCTTAAAATTTCGTTAAAAAACTTAGTTAGCCACCAAATGCCTTTTCCTCCTAAACCTTTCTAAACTTCAATCGGAATGTTGTCTGGGCCCACTGATTTGCTATTCTCCATTTGTTTAGGGCTTCCTTAACTTCAGTTTCTCGAATTCTTTGATAATAATTGATGTTTTGGTCCTCCTCCCTCATGCGTTGTCGATCAATGCTCTTCATTAAACAGATCATTGAAATAGCTCTTCCACCTGTCGTTTATGCTTTCATCGGATATCAAATCTTCACCATTCTTATCTTTAATGCACTTAACTTGGTCCGAATCTCGCATCTTTCTTTCTCGACCCTTTGCGATCTTGTAAATACATCTTTCTCCTTCTTTCGTACCCAAAGACTGGTAATACCCTTCATATGCTCTCATTTTAGCTTCACTTACAGCCACTTTTGTCTCTGTCTTAGCTGTGTTATACCATTCCCAACTTTCCACATTCTGATATAAAGACCACTCCTTGAAATGTTCCCGCTTTACCTTTACCTTTACCTTCTCTTGCACACTAGTGTCCCACCACCATGATTCTTTGTCTCTTGCATCATGGTGTAACACCATCCCAAATGGTGTAACATCATGACACCATTTCAATGGGGCAACTGGGCATGCCTACTCATATGTACGCCCAGTGCTTATTCACAACATTGCTATCACTTGTTCACAAAAGTCCTTGCTTGATATATAAACTGATTTGTGACAAGACTCTCCGGCAAGGAAAGGAAACAGTGTGGATAGTGTCACAGGATATGGTGATTGAGTGCTTGACGTTAAGCTGCTTTGATGGTGTTCCTATGAAGAGGAGTCAGGTTGGGTCAAACATTGATGGATTGCACAGGTCACACTGATGAGAGCGCAGAAATGTCCAGCATCATTGACTGAGGGAGGCATGACCGAAGGATCTAAAGCTCAGCCTGGAGTTTTCTTTTTAATATTTAAAGCAGGTGTATAGGAAGCACAGGAGTACAGGACACCTGGTTGCATTGTATAATTTAATGGAAGTCGGGTTTTCTGTTTTAGAAGCATGTGCTTCAAATGTCATAATCGAAGTCTACATAGCTTTGAAGACAGACTCGTCAATGATGTTGCTGTCCACAACCCTAGCAACCAGAAGTCCAGAACCAAGTTCTTATGTTTGCTAGATATGCATCTCGTTACAGGTCTATGTGCATTAGTGGAAGAGGAAGAACTTATCCCTATGATGTCACACACTGAGCAAAAAAAGAGCTGGGCGGAAGAAAAGAAGACTTATTTTATATTTCCGTAATATCCCGATAGTTTTTCCTTTTTTTAACACCTACGATTTAAATTAATAAGAAAACAAAGATAGTTACTAAGTAAACTAGTTACCCGAGTAACAAATAACTAGTTGCCAACTAATTATGAGCAAAGCAGGACACTAAACATACGAGAGTCTTAATCCCCATCACAAACTAACTCTACCACAAGTTACAATTCCTGGCTTACAGATGGAATGCCATAATCATCATCTTCCCCTTAATCTATACTAAATTTATGGCAGGGTCATAACATTTTAAATGTTACTCCCTCCGTTCCAAAATAATCTCCCACTTTCTTGTTTGGTCATCCCAAATAAACTTTCCATTTCTTTTAAGTATTAAATGGTTCACAGCACTTCTCTCTCTGCATAAATCTCAAGCACACAATTTCGTCTTTTTCTTAAACTCCGTGAAAAGACAACCCAGAAGTTAAATGTGGGACGGAGCCACAGAGGGAAAAAATAATTGTCCAAAATTTTAAAATTAATTAACATTATAAATTCTTTAAAAAATAGTGCATTTTTTGGCCCCTCCGGTCACAACCCTCATCCAACATAATAATAACACAATTCAAAACGGTTATCTTCTTAAGTTGTTTCCACTAGCATAAAAAAATCATGACACAACGAGGAATTGAGATAGCGGATATAGTCATGTCTCGAGATTCATAAAGCTAAACTGACATGCAAATCGTGTAACATGACTTAAAAGATACAATGTAGGGTGGGGTGTTGGGGGGACCCTTACAAGGATAAGACGAAGGAACATGGAAAAGCAGTCATAGCACAAGTTCATAAATACCTGCAATATACGAGCCATTGCGGTCTGAAACTTGTCCAGAGGAAGAGAGACGAGGCGAGGAAAGATGGGTAAAACCTGATGACATTAAATAGAAAAGGCACTCCTTGTCAGGAAAAGATAAACTCTTTGATCACCTAAAGTCACTCAAGCTTGCAACCCATTTATCAGACCTAATAATATATCCATTAGAATTCATATTCTTTATCAGGAAAAGAAAAATGTGTTTAGCTCTTAAATTCAGCCAAATACAAGTATACAAATATACTCATACTTGTCACTCCCACCGTCCCTAAAAGAACTTGACAACTTGACTTCACGAAGTTTGAGAAAAATTTTGAAAAGTGAAAGGTGTTTTGTAAAAAATAAGTGTCGTTGAAATCTATTTTGGTGATAGAGAAATAATAAGAGCGACATTGATTTTCCTAAAAAGGAAAGTTTAGAAGTGTAGAGTTCTTTTTAGAACGCCAAAAATGGAAAGTATAAAGTTCTTTTAAGGTCCGAGGGGAATATGAAATTGCAAGGCATGAACATGAATAATAGTGAATTTTCTAGGTTGAGACTAGACATGAACAAAAATACAGGTCCACGTAGGCATCATAAAAGAGACTTTCAAGCAAGATCAAACACAGGTCAATAGCCCCATAGTGACGTAGCCGAAAATGGATATTATATAGTAATTACAATAATGCAACTTCACATCAACAAAAAAAGTGAAAACACAGTTACTCATACTATAGAGTGAATGCCAAAATTTTTGTGCATGAGAAAGTATTAATCAGAAAGGCGCAGTATGTGGACTACAGATAGCACATATATATTCAAAAAGAGGGATACTGAATTACTAATTCAAGAAGAAAAGTTAATTATATTTATGTGGTTACAGATGAATGTTAAAGTAGAGCTTAAGAACTTTTTATCTATTACGCAGGATGGAAAAGAAAGAAAAATCATAACCGAACATTAAAATAAGACATGGACAAAGAATACCTCAGTTTTTGAAAAAGACGTGAGCATTGGAATAAGAATTGTTGCATCCTGAAAGAGAATAGACATGAAGAAAAACATTTCACAAACTCTATTTGTGTTTCAGTACAGCAAGAGTTAAAAATCGACAGTTCATCAACAGACCTTTAATTTAGTTTCATATAGACGCTTAACAACTGCAACCAGATCAGGTGGAGGTGTTGACCCCTCGGACATTATTTGGATCACCTTCCAGTAGATTATTATAAAAACCATCAGCTTGTGAAGTTTCAAGAAACAAGTTTCCATATGCCCACACTACAAGCGATGTTGAATAGGTAACATACCTGATTCAGCAGATTTTCACAACCATCTGGTGGATCTGATATTATATGAAGCAGTTCAGGACTAGAACAACCAACAGATCTAATAAGAATAGGTATATGACGATGAATGGCCTGCATACAGTCAGGGAATTGGGAATTACATAAGAAGCTTATTAAAATATTGGGGCCGAATATAACAATAACATCAATAACCATAATAATCATACGAAGTACTAATAATAACAATAACAACAACAACAACAACAACAATAATAATAATAAGAGAGGGGTAATCTTACACCACTATATTGGTATAAGATTGTTTACGCCAATTTAATTGAAGCACCTATCATGCTCCGATCATAAAATTGATTGTTCCTCCCCCCGGTAAACCCCCAGTCCGGCCCGGCCCTAACACACCCCCGCACACGCTCCAATTGCACCGCCCGAATAATAATAGTAATAATAATAATAATAATAATAATAATAATAATAATAACAATAACAACAACAACAAAAACCCAGTTAAATCCCACAAGAGTAGGGTCTGGGGAGGGTGTGTGTACGCAGACCTTACCCCTACTCGAAAGTATAGAGGTTGTTTCCAAAGAGACCCCCGGCTCAACATCGAAAGTCGCATTGCTTGACTAACTGCTACTTCATTAATTAAAGAAGCGCAGACAGTTTAGAGATCCATTTTGATTTATTCCATCACACCCCAAAGCCAAAAAATGGTAAAATTTTGGTTCGATCGGAGATGATGGAATGGATAATAATAATAATAATAATAAGAATAATAAGAATAATAATAAGATCCATTTTGATTTATTCCATCACACCCCAAAGCCAAAAAATGGTAAAATTTTGGCTCGATCGGAGATGATGGAATGGATAATAATAATAATAATAATAAGAATAATAATAATAATAATAAGAACAACAACAACAACAACAATACTAATGTATTACTTATGTGACACTTAAAATAAAATATGGATCCCTTCAAACATGAAGAAAAATCAAAAGAAGGAAAATAAAATAAAATTAAAAGGAGAGAAATAACCCAGATGACACTCTCAGCTTCTCGACACTATCAAGTTATCAAGTGTTTAGATGTAAGATGTAACACAAAATGTTAAGTTAACCAGTAACTGGTTGATATTTAGGGCAGTGGATTAAGGACAAGTTCAAGTTGCAACTGCAGAAACTGTTGGTCCAAGTGGCTCACTGGATATGCATAGTTGGAACTGGGAGCCACAGTTACCAACGGGAACCAAGAGCAGTTAGTGGCATAGAAACAGTATACACAAAAAAAATGAAACTACCAGACACCTGCTTAACAGTCTTGGGAGCCCTTCCATAGTTGTTAAATATAAGTTGAAGAAGATTAGGTTTCTGCAAAAACGTACAATCATTGTCATGTAAAAAGCAAATCTAAACCATGAGCAAAAGGAACGTCTTGTCAACATTTTTCATACCTTGGTGCATAATGTGAAAAATAATGAGACTAAACGTTGTGCTTGAGCAAAAGTCAATGCAGATTCACTTTGGGGATCAAATTGAGAACCCTTATAAGAATCGATTTCAGAAAATCCTATATCTGAATTCTGAGAGCCAGTAACAGATGTGACTTGGCTTCCAACCTGAAAGATGATTTGACCAGAGTAGAGTCACACTAAAGATAAAATGTGGAAAACACCCTTCTATTAGCTAGAAATGATGTGTCTAATTAACTTCTTTGGATTTCATATACATGTCAAAAATAATACACTCTCACACCATAATGTTATATAACATTTTCACCACTGTTCATAAATGCGCTAGGCGAAGCATAGGTAGGGTCAGGTGGAGCATAAGCTGGATTAGGGATGGTCAATTGGAAAAAAACATGTTTGTCAATAAAAGCCTAGAGCCTACTGCCTAGGTGAGGCTTTTTGAAACAGATATATCAACATAGATGCAAACAATGATTTTTCTTTCTTACCCAGATTAAAGTATCAGCCATGAAATACCATGCTTATTCACAAGTATTTAAATTTTTTCCAAATGAAGTGTCTAACTGTTTGGCACAATTATAATTAAAAAATCCCATTTGGATTTACTATTCAATCAACAAGACCAACACATATTCAATACTTCAGATGGAACATCATTTCAAGGCACCAGAATAGAAGCTGTAACTATATGATTAAAGGGAACGTAGAACTAGGTCTAGCTCTACAGATCATGTAATCATTAACTTGACCATGACTCCATGAGTCCACGAGAAAGGGTGACTGAGTTTAGAAGCATAAAATGAAAAGAAAAAAAAACAAGCAAATTATTAGATTACCACATCACCTCTTTTAATTGATCACTGGTACCAGCCGTGCAATCTTCTGGGTCTGAAGCATGGTGATCTATAGCAGACAAGAACGTATTTGTTGCAAATTGTTCAATATTTTCTGACATGTGGCTTAGCACATATAGTTTGTTCGCCACCTACAGAGAGTGCAGAGAACAAGATCAACAAATGTGCAAAGAGGAATTGGATCAGGTGTTTCTCAATCAAAACAGTTCTCTCAATATTGCGGAATAGCAAAGTGACCATACCAGGCGGATGGCTTTAGCTCTAACATCTTCCTTTGGATGAACAGCACACTGCCATGTGAGATTTTCATTAGTAAAAGCAAAATGTCTAAACAGGCTCAACTGCTTCGACTTGTCAGTGTTGGCCCCTTTTCACAGCTTTAGTAAAAACCAACAAATGCAGCAGAAAGCAATCAACTGAGTTCAATAGCTATAAAATAAGGGTCTATTATAACGAATATGGAACTTAAATGGTCACCACACCTTCAAAGCAATATCCAAGCAGGCTTCACGATTGGGTGGCCGTCCCAAAATTAAGCCCCACACAGCGCCAAGACCCTGTGTGACACGATCACCATCACGACCATCTTTTCCCAAATAATTTTCGGAGCATAAATCATTTAGTAACCGCATCACAGAAGCAGGCAAGTAAGGAACATCACTTAGAAGTCGGCCAAATGACTTGTCAGTTGCCGGCAAAGTATCTAATATAGATTTTACCTGCACAAGGATATTATTTTATATAAGCAACAAAGGTCACACATAGGAATACACCTCATTAAGAAATGATCTTACCACTCCTAGGAGGACTTTATCATACACTGAAGCAGCATATGAAGAGCTTTGATCCGGATCTGATAGCATTAGTGTGTGCAAATGGTAAAGGACATGTATTATGACTTCATGCCCCTGAAAATGATGCAAAACAGGAAACTAAATAAGTAATTAAACATAACGTTCAGAAAAAGGTATACAGACAAAATATCTTTAGCCCTAAACATTGATCAGGCTTTGAAACAAATGCCTTTTGCTCTTGATAGTCTGAGAGAATATGTTTTTGCATCATCACAGCTCCGTCGGCATCAGCATTCATCTGTGAGTAAAATAATTTGATGTTATATGGGTCAACCTTCAGCAGGCAAGGGCTACAAACCCATTTAAGTGAATTGTACTTGCACCTTTATATGCAATCAAGAGAGCAACAAAAGATCATATGTGTTACTACAGACAGACTGAATTGCATGCTAGCAAAACCTTAAAACTCTTTTATTTTTTGGTTGCTTCAAGGGTTGGATTTTCATTATTCCCAAACTCGTAATATCAATTAGACCATAGTTCTATATGTTTTCTTCTTAGATGGTCAGAAGCGGTTGAAACACACACTTTTATTATTATGCTCTTAATAATACAATACACCGCTATAACATGATAGAAATGGGGGAGGGGTGAGTGGAAAGTAGGAACCTATAACAGATGTAATGTTGAAACTATTACTCTATATGTCACACAAACAAATTCTCATTTTTCTTTTTGTCCATCCCAAAATAAACTTCCCACTATTTCTTTAAATAAAAGGAAAGGAATATGTTACTCACGACATTTCTCTCTAAACAAATTCTACCCGCACTTTTTATTTCTCAACACTTTTCTTAAACACTGAAGTCAAACCATATCTTACAACAAAAGATACTGCTGATACCAGTACATCACTAACAGAGCCAGCCCGAAAATGTGAAAAAATGAGTTTAGCCTTGTGCAAAATTCACATGTTGGGCCCTATTTTGTTTTTTATAGAGTACTTGTGCTTTAAAATTAGTGCTAAATTTGATTTTTAATAACAAGTTTTATAACAATTTGAAAATTAAAATATAAATTTATATTAAATTTTAAAATATCAAGTAATTAGAGTAACAACCATCTAGAATATTGGCCCTAAAAGTTTGGGGCCCTGTGCGGGTGCACACCTTGCACACCCTCTGGGCCGCCCATGATCACTAATGTGACATCATATATATAGTACAATAGCGACACTTAGGGCATGTTCCTTTGAGTTAAAAAACTTAACTTCCAACATTTTCCAACTCCTTCCAATTGCTTCCAACATCCAACTCTGAAATTCTAATCGAAAAGAACAGACCCTTATTAGAGCTATAATACACTTTATATTCAACACACCCGCAAGGTAAACCCTATCTATGAATTCCAAACATTGTGATATAAGACACACCATACTGACGCTCTTTTAAAAAAACTTACTGGGTAGTGGTACTGAAACACGCTAGAAATTGCCAAGCATTTCAAACGCCGCATGGGTTCTCACCAAGCACTTCAAACACTACACTAGTGCTGACTGAGCACTTCACACACTTCGAGACATTTTTATTTAAGCTACTGCACTCCAACATGAGTCAACCGTCCAAACAAGATTAGGTTGTGAGGGTGTGGTATTAGGAGCTGGAATATTGGGCTAAAGTGTGGTAGGCACCCTTAAAACCCATGAATTCTTCATATTCAGGACTCGGAATGACTTCGGAAATACGTAGGTTCCAACAGTTTCCATGTGTATGTCAAGCACTCCTATTACAAACATCACAACTTATAAATAGGGTTTTTGTTGTGTAAATTGCAAGAATTTTCCTGTGTATGCCCTGGTTTTTACAATACTCACTAAAATGGGGCAACCACCGACCTTCAGCTCCCCATTTACCTCAACCACTACAAATTTGAGAAATAAGGGTGGAGGGCACTATAATGTTCTATGTTGAGTCCATAGGAATTTCAGGAAGGCATCTAAACAACTCTATGGTGTTGGGAACATTTTCTTCACGCATCTTTTTCTGATGTCGTCAATGATCTACCCTGGGCTCCCATAGGGTGACAACCATCCAATACTTCTCCCGCAGGTTATTTTGCTCGGGTAATCCACATGTAGGCGCAAGGGAGCTATACTCAACTATTAACCCCTGGGTTTTTCAAATAAAAGTTCCCATTGGTATTCCTGTCTTGGTTAGTGTTTAAAAAGTAAGATAGAGCACATTTTACAACTTATTCAATATTCACTCTCTCACACAACTATCACAACACCGTCCTAGCTCACTTCTCAGCACCTCCCTAAGACTAATTTGCACCAAAATAATGGTGTGTTTTTCTCATTTCTTGTAGATTCATCTTCACAAGTGATATTGGGATGATGAACTAGAGTTGGAATATGATCCATATAGGGGTAGATTTTGTTTATGTGGTAACTGAGGACAGAAAACTTGCAGGTAAAACATCCATTTGGTTTAGTTTGAATATATTATTTTTTGAAGGCTGTGGTTGTTTGGTTCGATCATACAGCTCGGTTTTGTATTACTTTAGGCTTTCCGGTTTTCTTGTAGAAACCTAATATTCGTAACTTAAAAAATTGTAAAAATTAATAATTATATTTTTGACACTACAACATGTGATATTTTTGAATGATACATTAACCTCTTGAGCTTTTAATATACTGATTTGTTGAGAGCCTATTTTCTTTGCACTACGAATCTGTGAGTGTATTCAATTATGCATTTACTTATCCCCCATCCATCCGCAAAAACACACAAATTATGGAATGATGTATTTCACATCAACTTATGTTCAAAAAATTAGCTAGGATACAGTCACACGTGATATTGTGTATCCTTCATTAAAATAAATTTTAAAAAAACTGATTCAAAACATAAAGGTGCAAATATCAATGAAGTACAGAAGTCCATGAAGGACAACTTGCAAAACCATCATGGAAGCATCCCATAGTTCCTGAACTTTTATGTAGTGACAAGAGATTCATATAGGAAAAAGGAGTTGATTAAACCACAATCAGAGACAAGAAGCCAAACAGCAACTTTACCTGAGCAATCAAGCGAGAAAGCACTGTTATGCCTGTTTGTTTGTTATATGGCCCTGTTATCCTCTTGTACGTATCAATTAATTGTTTGATTGCCAATTTACCCACACCTCTTTGCTGCTCTTCTGTCAGCTCTATGTATGGGGGAGAAAAAGGGGTGTAGTCACACACATCCTCAGAGGAGATTATGTTTGAAGTGGGTGGGGAGTGTTGATCAGTTTCTACAGAAGATGGTGAGTAGACCTCATCTACCGTTGAAACATTACATGGCTCTTGTGCCACCAAGTCCTGCTCCAATTTGCAAGCAGAAGAGATTATCTCGGTTACATTTTCTTCAGAGTCACGAACACTATCGTCAGCTTCGTCAACCTGAATTTCCTCTTTTGGAGCTGACCATTCAGCCAATGCAGCCTCTGAACTCTCCAAAGTGTTGTCAGGTTCAAGTTTTGGATTTTGAGACATTGGCATATTTTTCAAAAGAGGAAGGATAGGTATTGTTGGGGATCCATTAGAGATTTTAGAAGCATCAACGTCAGATATAACTATTGCAGATTGCATTGGATTGATATTATCTTCAGCCATGGGTATTGATAGCACTCCAGTTCCAACAGTGGCACGCCTTGGGTCAAGACGCCGAGGATCCTGGAAACAAATGAACATTAAATAGCAAGAAACAGATTGAATGGCTGATAATGTTGTAAGCAAGGGAGAAAAAGTGATGTTAACACTAGATGAATGGTGAGGAAAGAAAAAGATTGCAAGGTATCCTAGTAACGATTTTAGTTAAGCTTACCCTTCGAGGATCACGTTTAGAATCAGAAGAGAGTGAAGTGGACATTTCTGTCATTGATGAGCTTGCAACATTTGACGCAGCGGCAGGTGTTTGAGAAGTGAGAGGTGCTGTCTGTTTGGAAACTGAGGAACCTATAGGTTCCCTACTATTCGACAAAGTACTTGCAAAATCACTTCGCTGAGTTAATGGCGGGGTATCAAACATGGTTGATGAAGGGATATTTCTAGGCAAGTGTCTCATATTAGTTATGACAATATCAGCCATCACATCAGGTGGGATTTTAGCTATAAGAATTTCCAGTGATTCAGCACCTCTTTCTCCTTCTGATATTAATGCACCTATCGCGGTGATCATTTGTTCAACAAGGCTCGAGGCATTAACTGCTGCAGGTACTTTTTGAGGAGCTCCATCTCCATTAACACAATCCTTTCCAGAGTCGTTTCTTTCAACAGGCTGAACTGCATTATTGCTGAGCCCATAACGAACCCTTTTTGCAAATAAGTCATAGTTAGTGTTTGAGTTCTCATTATCGGAAGGGGTTTCCCTTTTCTTTGTTGCATCCCCGGAAATCGGCAATTGAGTTGATAAACGGTCACCCTGAAACAAAGAGAGAGTTTGAGTGCCTTGAATACCAGTAGGAGAACTTCACAACTTCACGTGAAGGACCAATTACTTTAGGATCCAAAGCAGCAGAGCGAACTGGCAAATTACCTTGCTTATTCGAGCCTCACGTGAAGCACGGTCATTGTTCCTCATCATTTTATCCAGTTGACGAAGAACTTGATCGGCAGCATCCCCGGCATTCATTGCTCGCAAAGCTTTTTGCAGTCTCTCTCTAGTCTACACTCAGAGGAAAAATAAGTCACCATAAAGCCACTGATCAGTGATCACTGGCAACTTGGCAAGAGAATGAATGAACAAATGATATAATAAATCATGACCCTTTTTCTCTCTCCATCCTCCGTCCCAAAAATTGGGCCACATGATTAGCAAAGTTTGGCTCAAGTTATTTACAATTCCATTTTGTGCAATATCTAGTAGTGTTTTAATCAATGAAATTTATAAACTTCATGAGTACATCAAACAAATCAGTTTAAGACACAAAATGGAAAATTATAGGAAATAGTTAAAGTAAATAAACCCCAAAAAAGAGTTGGTTTGACCCATGAATAGTAGTATATGAGGTATGGGACTTACAAAATCATTCAGAGGTAGTATACCAAATTGTACTGGCATAGTCCTGAATTTTAATAGAGACGTGCACATGCAATTTACATTAGGACCTTAAATAGGCACACAGTGAGATTGTTACTTGATTTTAGATAGAAGAGTCTTTTAAAGAGGCGTGCATGTTTGATGTACGCTTCGAGCTTCCCATTGAAGATTTCGGATAGAAACAAAATGGTTTCTATTAATCAAAGCTAGCCAGTGCTGGTTGTGGAACTAATTGATAATCCTCACTTTATAATACACTGAATTCAAAAATCATGCTCAACAAAGCTCAGGTAAGCATTTCTACAGATTAAATTTACAAATTTTCTTTGACAAAGTAATACATAGAATCAAATCATTAATTCAATTTAGAATAGTGTTGGCTAGCCAAGCATGAAAATAATACCTAAAACCCAGCAGAGGGGACTCTGCTACTCTTTAACATCCACAACATTAGATAATGAATCAAAAACTTTGGAAGTCCAAAATGGGGTTTCAATGCTACAGAGGCAGCACAAAGTTACATCAAACAATTTTATTCAAAAATATGTATCCTTTCATACAAAATTAAGTATTCCTCAATACAAAATTGATATGCCTCAACAAATGTAACTGCAGCAGAATGAAGTAAAGATTCTAAGTACTGTGAAAGGAAGCAGAAATAATAGCCTGGAAGGACATTTCCCAACAAAATCAGAAAAGAAACTGAAAACACCATCTAATTTGCAACCCCAAAACAAGAAAAGAATGTGTGGGTAGAATCAAATGTTTCAACAAGTGAACTCTAATGATTAGTGAAAAATATTACCTCCGGGTTAGCGGAATGAGTACATCTCAGAAATCCTAAAAAGGCTGTCCTTAGCGAGTACAGAATGCTGGGACTATGACCTCCTTTTGTCATCTCAAAATTAGGATCAAAATCAAGCAATGCCGAAAGAATGAAGTTGTAGTGAGCAGGCCTCTTCTTTGCTATAGTAGCAAGGCTGCAAATAAAGATTAACCTTTAGAATTACTTCTCAAATATAAATAAATAAAAGGGTATGCAACAGTAGCAAAATCTAAAGGTATAAAACAAAATGAAGCGGCCCAGGAGACTTCAACATGTTGGAAGAGGGCCCAACTAAAGCATAAATTCCTTGATACAAGGGAACCAACCGTCTGAGACACAGACTGAAACCTTTGGAAATTTTCTATCCACACTAGCAAATCAAGAAACTGAAGTGACAGAAATAACTACATAGATCGTACCGACGTAACAAACAACTCCATATTATATCTAAGTTAATACGAGACCCTCATCCAAAAAAAACGCCAATGCAAATATTGTGCACTGAATTAGACAAGGAAAAGTGAGTAGGAATCTTGGTTTCTCTAATCATTTTGCAGCTTTCAGAGTCAAAGGACCTCTATTCTCTAAATCAAACTATGATTCACCCTAAAAAATCTCACTGGATGCCGACAGTGGCATGCACCTATTTTGTTCAGGAGTGCAAACTTATTTCTACTTTTTAATGCACACATCTCCAACAAGTTGATCACAGTGATTATGACTTAGGGTTTCCCTTGATTATTAACTTATGCTGCAACATCTTGCAAATGAAATTTGATTACCCGCATTCCTCAGGATAAGTAGCAACGCAGAACTAAGAGATGGTCGGAAAATAGACTTTTGCCATCCCTGGGGTCTAAACTATACAAAATCTAAAATCATCCACATCAAAAAGAGCTAAAGCAAAAGCTTTTAAATTTATGCACAAAAGAAAGGATATCAGATAAACAACGTTTGTGATCTAGATGACCTATATGAAACATAAAGGCATCAACTCGCAAACTCCAGAGACCAGACAAATCAGAACCAATACTCTTCTTAATGAATTTACAAATACTCTGTTGAAGACTTGAAGTACTGAGTTCCATATGATCATAGCAGCTTATTGCTCTAAAAACACCTGCCAGAACCATAAGGAGATTGCCTGTCTAAGGCTAGATAGCCCAACCTTCCACCAACCCAAGCAGCATAGTAGTCCAGTACCCGAAATATTATACTCGCTCCGTTCCATAAAAAAGTTCCACCTTTGACTTGGCACAGAAATTAAGAAAAGTGAAACTGTATATTTGAGAGTGATGCAAAGGAGAGAAATTATAAGAGACACAAAATTGTTTCTAAAAGTGGAAAGTGAAACTTTTTTTGGGACGGGCGAAAAAGAAAACGTGCGACCTTTATATGGGACAGAGGGAGTTTTGTAGTAATTTACACTATCATTTATTTTGCTTGCAGAAAACTCACAAGACCATAGCCACCACCAAAACTCCATTCACGAAAATCAACACCGTAAAGTTACAAACAAAGTAGCCTTACAAGACTAGAGCAAAACACGGTAGATGATCAATGCTCAAAACCAGGACAAGAGGGTTAAGGACTGTTAGCAGAATTCATGATCAGAGTAAGGCACATTTCACCTCTGGCACTATCACGAACCTGTAAGAGGAGTTGATGAACCTGGTCCATAATGTTAAGTGTAATGTATTCTCTTCTGACTAAACTAGAATTCTCATACCAATCTTCTATTCATGTTTTTAGCCATCATAGTTTTAAATGGTGCCAAACCGTGTACTTGCCCTACTAGTTACTACAATGATCTTCAATCACATTTAGTCACGACACACCAAAGAAAATCCAATGCAGTCAATGTAATTGTAATCCCAATAACAGGGGAAGAAATACTGCATCAATTTGAAGAAATGCAAGTACAGGGAGTCCATAAAAATGCAATGTGCCGAAAAGAAAACCACTACATTCAGTCAGACCAGAAGATACATGAAATGTGCATCCATAGAATCCTTATATCATTGTCGAATAAGAAAGTATAAAGCAGTCAAGATAGTATAAAGTTAAGTGCTAAGTGTTTAAATAAAAAACAACCATAAAAGGCATTGTAATTGACGGGTACAAATTATTTACAGAAACTCCATGTCTTGTGTTATATCTGTAACTGAAGGTCGAAAGCTAAAGATCAAAATGAAATAGACAAATAATTAATACCTGAAGTATCAAAGTACAAAGTATACAAGTATTCCATGGATATATAAACCACACAGTTTGCAGATATCAATGTTATCCCCCACGCAAGTCCTGTAAAGATGTTTTCCCACAATATTTTGGCATAGGTTGCCCGTGGAAATATACAACTCCCAGAGACATGTTGCACACTTGCACATGGACCAAATCATAGAATTATTTTCAGCTTATATACTGTGCTCAATGAGTGAACAAGAGCACTACTGACTTGCAGCTAATTCCAATCACTCAAATGTTTTCAAATGAAAAATTAGTGGCTTCTTGTCGACAGCAATATGGCCACAGTAATGATTATTGGTACTTCCATTATGTTACCCTGAGAGGGATGAGCAAGAATATACTAGACAGGCAAGTAAATAGAGACAAACGTTGCTAAGTTACAAAGTATTCAACTCTTCATGTCCTGGTCCTTATTTCTTCCAATAATTTTGCAGAATAAATATGTAACATGATTTCCAATCATATTCATATTCTTCTTCTACTAATTATTTTGGGTTGAATTAATGCAAATCCAAGGCACGCCAGTTACCCACCGAAGTGGACTCCATGCAAAATTGGAATGAGCGTTGACATTTAAATAAGTGCTTGAAATCCTTCAGCGTCAAATTATCATATGCCATTGTCGGGAAATGGGAATAAGATCCAGAGAGTACCAAATTTGTAAAACTGGCTTGCACCTGAGTGATGTCGCATTGCACCTGTTCATCCATTTAGATTGCCATTGAGAGTTGTTCGATGACTACTACACTATTTAATGTTACATCCTCCATTCCATAAGAATTAATTTCCTTAATGAATACAGCAATCCATATCATATATTGTGCCCACCAACTCAAATGCAACTAGGTGTTACTGATTATAATTACATTTCCCAAGAATTCAGTTTGCAATCCTGCTAAGTGTAGATGATTTGACAAGCTTGAACTCAAACCTCATACTTTTGGTAGGTAACGCCCATGGCATGTTGCATCATATTCCATTTCATTGATTCTCTTTTTCAAATTCGCCAACATATTGCCTCAGGAAACTATATTAATTATGATATACTCCCTTTAATCCCTTTATACACCAGTAAAATGTCTAGTATGACGAATTTGTTCAAGTCCTTATATCCAATTAGCCACACCGACTTGATCAAGACATATCACAAGTTGCTTGAGCCATCCCACAAATCTCAACTTGCAAAAAAGAGGTCAATGAACTGTAGGAAAATTGTAACAACAGATTGACTGGTGTTCGGCTCCCTATTGAAACAACCCCGAACAAGATCCGTGTCAGCATAGGTGATAAAGGTTGTCCAAGTCATTGTGTTTCTTTATGCAAGTGTTATGTATTTGCAAAAGGAGTTAAACAAGTCATTTTAAAAGTATTTGATTTGCAACCTTACATGAAACGGCAATACACCATATCCAATGAAAGAATAGAATTTGGCATCAATAATCAACATATATCTGTAACAACACAAGAATATCATATGGTGCCAAAGACAAGTCTCAAGCTTTTAATTAAGAAATAGCACGTGTAGCAGTTTTACAAATTAGAAATACATGTTAAGAGACACTATAAATGGTACATTTAAGTGTTTCTGTTCAATACTATACAATGTGATTAAATTCCTTGTTGAACAAGTTTTTAAGCAAGGTGTCACCAATTAATCCAAGGCTTAATCATCCCTACCACCGGTTGAAGCCGTTGGTATCAGCTTTCCCTGATATTCGAACAGCCAATACAGCAGTTGATGCAAAACCTATTTAACTCCACGATAAAACGTCAGCTTCATGCTGCAAAAATAGCACGATCAAGCAGTCGAGCTTATACTGAAGCAATTCCAAGCTTCAGTTTTCCTTCCATGATTTCAAAAATGATGGAAATGATTATGACGCGCAGCAGATATTTATGAGATGTCGCCCCCATATATATGCATTGATGTCTTAACCAAAAAGATATATTCCTTTGTATTATGAGCAATAGATAGAGAGAAGAACATGAATACAAGGAAATATACACTATTTGCATGCAAAACAATCCCCATAATTAACAAATAAGCTAAAATCACCCTATGTTAGAAAACAATTAATTCTCCATTTTTAAGCATCGTAAATAAAATCAATAGCACCCTATGCATTTTTTATAAATCCCTATAAATAGATCATCAGCATATATAATATTGACCAATGACCATTACTCAATCAGATGAGATTGACACTTAATCTTTTAGCAATAATTTTTGGGTCACATAGAAATTCAACGCTATTGTGATGGGTTAGTGTCTAAAACAACTCCTAAACCAAAAATCTAATACTCCCTCTGTCCCGCATTATTCGTCCAGTATTCCTTTGTTGGTCGTCCCTAAGTATTCGTTTACTTTCCTATTAAGGTAAGAAAAATAACATGAAATGTCCATTTTACCCTCATCATTTAATCTCTTTCTCCCTTATTCCTTATTCAAAGCTACTCCTTTGTATGTAATCTTATCCTCAGACCTAATCACCTTCTCTCTCATGTATCTTCCCCTTCGTCTCTCTCATCTCTCCTGGAGCGCACTGGTTGTCTTCTCCGATATGTCAATATTGTTGGAGATAGATGTCTTTGACGAATGACTCATGGAGTAGGATGGCGGCCGGCAATGTTTTTTACGTCGAGCCGGAGCTAGATGTCTTCTCCGACAACGGCCAAATGTATTTGACGATTAGATATCTTTTTATAATCTAGATCTTCGGCGGCTGCATGTCTTCTTATAATCTAGATCTAAAATGTGATGTCTGAGTTTTTATTTTCTAATTTTGTTCTTGTTCTGATATTGGGACTTATGTTATGTTCTAAAATACAGATCTAATTTCCGTTCTGAAATTGAAGTCGTCTGAAATATAGGTTTCTTTTAAACCTCATTTTGTTCTAGATCTGAAATCAGGGCTTTGTTTTCTGTCGGCTGGTTTCTCTCCTCTAAACCTAATGTTTGATCCCTTGCTGGTATTTGTTTTCTGATTTTGAAACCGGAGTGAGCTTGCCAATGGCTAACGTATAGATGGTGGAGGATGTCGGGGTGACGATGGATTGGGAGGCTGCGGTGGTGGAGGTAATAGGCTAGGCGGCTGAGGAAGGCAGGGAGTCCAAGGGCAATTGTGTCATTTTACCCATTACATTGGTTTGTGTGTCAAAATGAAAGCGTACGAATACTGCAAGACGGAGGGAGTACCATTTCATAGGCATTCACATAAGGAAATTAAGAAAATTGTGATACAATCACATAACAAGCAGCAGGGGTAGAACATGATGTAGCATGAACAGCAACACACCCTTATTTGGGAAGTAAAATGCCAAACATAAATATGGTTAATGCAGGAAAAAAAAGTAGGACTTGAATCCAGTCCTCCAACAATGAACCTCAACCTTATATTCAGCAATGCCCCCACTGATAGGTTTCGGTTTAAAATATTGACATCAGGCCATCGCAACAATCTACTATTCGCCACACAAGAAACAGAAATCTACCCTCAAGAACATGATAACAGATAGTAAATGTGAACTCTACCATTATATGTCATAAAATATGCAAACAAATACTCACAGTATGCAAAAAAGGATAGTTCATGCAGTAATGTTCCCTAAATTACAAGCTGATTTTATTACTCTTGTAATGGGAATAGCTATAGCTACCATCTCGACTCATTTCCATTTCAAGATTTTTTCTATTTAAGTATAAATAACCTAGAACGATGACAGTCTTATTTCTTAAGAAAGGTTGTGACAGAGGCAATATGCTTTTCTGTATGAAGTAATAATAGTGCAAGCTAATTTTAGACAATTAAGTTGTCACTAGTAGTTTCATGCAATAGCACCAACTTGCTAGGACCTTAAGATTGAAGTGGTGGTGGTGGGGATGCAAAAAGCATAGGTCATGCTGAAGGCATTAATTAATTGTGTGTGCTTTTAAGATAGCCTCTCATTCAATACAGATGACATTTGACAAGGAGAAAAAAAGTTAACCTTTTGCAAAATGAGAGCAGAAAGGTTCTCATAAAGATCAAGGAACAGAATGGGAAAACAATGCACAACAAACACTTTTTGATGCAGTACATTACTTAGAAATTAAAGATTGATCTAAAAAGAACTACATTTTTTATAGAAAGAAGCTTAATCAAAAAGCATGATACTATTCTATTTTGATGAAATGGGAAAAGTGAGAGTGATAGAGAAATCTAGTTGTGAATGCCCAAGTCCCAACAACGATAAAATGATATCCAAAAACATCCATGAAGAGAAAGGAAAATACTATGACTTTGTCACTTAAATTAAATAAGAATTTTTCAGGACACTAAGGGGGGTTTTGTTACGTCAAATAGCAAAACCACTTAGAATAGAAAAACAGGTTATATATGTGGGTAAGTGAAAAATCATCTGGACAGAACTCCATTTTGGATCTTTATTAATTGAATTGCTTCATCATATATTCTTGTATGGATTTTTGTGAGTATTTCGGGAAAATTTTAAAAATTATTATGGCCAAGAAGAGAGTCCTCTAATTCTATGGATTTTTCTATTATGCTATTTTCATGGATATTATTCGAGAAAAGTTTGAATAGCCTAGTATTCCACTAATGAGCAAGCAAAGTTCCCAGACATTGAAGAGAAAGTCCTCTAATTCCACTAAAATGCTATTTTCATGAACATTATTCGTGAAAAGATTCGATGGCCTAGTATTCTACCAATGAGCAAGCCAAGTTCCCAGACATTGATTCAATTTTAAATAAAACCACTTGGGCATTTCTGGTTTTAGTAATAGTAATATACGGAGTAACATATATTTCAAGCACTTGCATGATCCACTTATTAAAAACTCTATATACACATGATATATTGATATGTGATAAAATATTTACCAATAGTACAGGAAAAAAAAGGTTCTTTTCTTATTTATGAGTTTTCATCATTTCTCAATTCAGGTCCACAATAAAGTCAAACTATGTTTTCATTTTCTTTCAAGCGACAAACTGTTTTAGTGCCCTTTTAGAATGCTAGGCATCGCAACTTAACATTTGCAATCCTACGGAAATCTCCGCAATATACCAAAAAGGATTCACAGTCATAGTTCATATACTCCCTCCGTCCCATAAAAGTTCTTACTTTCCTTTTTAATCTATCTCAAAATAATTTTCTCACTTCTCTTTCCTTTATTAAAAAAAATGTGGTCCAAAAAACTCTGTTAATTATTGAATAATTTTCTCAACCATGAAGTCAGAGTGTGCAAACCTTTGTGGGACAGAGGGAGCAAGCATCATATATGTCTTTCTAAAAAGAATTAGTGCGACAGAGGTAAACTGAGAAGTCACCTATTAACAATGGATATCGTCAGTGAACCAGGAAGTGAACTTGCTGAGTGCAAAAGATCTAGTAGAATGCCAATGGTTCTATTTGCATCAGATACCAGTGCTGCTCGATCTATAATGGGATGATTGCCACCAATCCAAGAAATATTGAAAGGCCGCCTAAATTGTGTCGATGCTAGAAGAAAAAAGGAATGGCAAAGTAAACATTACTTGTTGAGCAGGATATCATATGGCAAACAATCAAACAAACTATGATTTCTGGCACAAAAAAATCAAAAATAAAAGTGCACTCTCCTTGTTCTGGAGCAACATGTAAAATACCACTGGGCATATTGCTAGCACCCAACTAATGGTATATCCGTATATATCATACCAGGAGTATGCCTCAGAATCGGGATAAAGCAGTTCATACGAAGATAATTTTGGCATAGTTCAAGTTCAGGACCACATCACACACCTTCTGAAGTACACTTCTCAGCATCCGTTGCATCAGGTGTGCAAAGTAACACACATGTTTCCAAAAATTTAATCACAGACAATCTTATGCTAACAGGGGCAGCCTACAAAAACCAAGCCAATCCATGTCAGTTAGATCCAACAAGCACAAATAGTATATTGTGATCTACATTGAAACAACAAAATTAGATGCCAGGATCCTCTCTTCATAAATAGCATTCTTTATTATTGGAGACATTTTGTAGAGCCTGAAGTAGGGAGTAATATTTTGGTTTGGATGTAATATGCATTTTCCCCTTATCTTTGGATCTTTTAAAATTTACTTCTTTCATTTAAAGAGGATGGTGGGTGAAAAAGTGCGATCACTGTGTAAATGAAACATATACTTAGAATACGACATTCTAAGTCTCAGCAATTAAGGAAGATGTTAAAGTGCATCCCACATCGGAAGTTCAAGAGTAAAATAATCAGTATATAAGCTCTTGAGTTGAACTAACTAATCGATTGGATTCAATCTTTTAATGTGTTTCAGACCTCTTATTGTCCGATCCAGTGGTCTCTACCCCATCCTAAATTCTATCATGGTATCAGAGCAGGTTTTGGCCGACTTCGTTTGTCAAGGTGTCCGTCTAGACGTTCATTTCTAGCGGCTCGTTAGTCTTTAGCCCAGTTGTACGAATGGAGTATGTACCCAACGGCTTGTGACCCGCTTAACACGATTGCTCATCTGGAAGTCCATACCCAGCATCTCGTGGTCCTTTAAGTGTTGGCGCTCAAAAAAAAGTCAAGGGAATGGGAGTTCATTTGCAAGTGGTCAACCGGTTAGATTCAAAATGGCATGGTTCATCCTAAATTCTATCATGGTATCAGAGCAGGTTTTGGCCCACTTCGTTTGTCAAGGTATCCGTCTAGACGTTCATTCCTAGCGGCTCGTTAGTCTTTAGCCCAGTTGTACGAATGGAGTATGTACCCAACGGCTTGTGACCCGCTTAACACGATTGCTCATCTGGAAGTCCATACCCAGCATCTCGTGGTCCTTTAAGTGTTGGTGCTCAAAAAAAAGTCAAGGGAATGGGAGTTCATTTGCAAGTGGTCAACCGGTTAGATTCAAAATGGCATGGTTCTCCACTTCAGGGGGAGTGTTAAAGTGCATCCCACATCGGAAGTTCAAGAGTAAAATAATTGGTATATAAGCTCTTGAGCTAAACTAACTAATCAATTGGATTCAATCTTTTAATGTGGTCAGCCCAAGTCTTTTATTGCCCGATCCAGTGGTCTCTACCCCATCCTAAATTCTATCAGAAGAAAACCAAAGTTGAATGTTAGAAGAAATGGTAAGGAGTGATGGAAATGGAAGTTGGAAAAACAAGGAATTAAAAGACACTAAAAGGTGGGAAAACTGAAAGGAGTTCATAAGAAATTGCAATGAGTTGGAATAAACTCGAAGGAGTTAAGAAACTAAGACCCTGTTCTTTTGAGTTAGAAAAATTATCTTCCAACTTCTTCCAACTCCTTCCAGTTCTTTCCAACGACTTAAAAAGGTGTTAATATATGATTAATATAAAATAACATTATATATCCAAATTTGTAATATATCACCTCAAACACGCACAATGATGAACTCTTTTTTAACCAAAATTAGAGTTTCGTTACATATTTATTTGGATGATCATTTAATTGAGTGATTTTTTAACACTTACATTCTTTCAACATTTTCCAACTCCTAGTTTTTTCTAACTTCTTCCAGTTTCTTCCAACATCCAACATCCAACTTTGAAATTCCAACCCAAAAGAACAGGGCCTAAACGAAGTATGAAGAAAGTGGAAGGAGTTGGAAAAATTGAAAAAGTTGAGATAAAAATAATATTTTTTTATTAAAATAAATTATACTCTATTTGTTCCATTTTGTTGTGTCTTTTTTTGTATGTCCCAACATCAAAATCATTCCCACAATTTTTTGTTTCAAATTTGCATGTCATTGAGTCATTAACCAATATCCGAAAAATAGTAAAACAAAAGAACCATTATTATTATTATTATTGAAATAACAATAATGCAAAATGAATGCAAGAAAATAAATTTTAAGTCACTCTTACAAAAAACTAGAAGTAGGAAGAAATTAGAAGGAATTAGAAGAAACTGAAAGTTAAGAGTTACACCCCAACATAACAAAGCGTAAGTCCTTGCAATCTTAATGAGAATGATAACAAGCACATTTAGGCAATAAGATTCTAGAAGTTAGTATTCATAAAGAGCTAGTGGGTATTTTTGTGTTGGTGCTTATTGACTTATTGTAGATAAGTACTTTTTAATTGGTATGCAGCTTATTGAAAAAAGTTAGAGTGATTTAATGAGAGATGAGTCATTTAAGGATACTCATAAAGGGTTAGAGATTGTTCTATAAAGGATTTAGTCAAAACAAAAAACTTGAAAAACTAACTTAAATATAAATAAGTAAGACCTACTTTTTTGGACTTATAATCAGCTTATAAGCGCAGAGAAACACGTCATCAAATGAGTTATAAGTTTAAAACAACTTATAAGCAGTTTTGACCAACTTATAAACACACAAAAACTTAAACACCTACTTAGCATGAATCGACATAATGCAAACAACTCGACCACTAGGTTAATACTCCATATACTATGCAGTACATAAAATTTATTCGGACTACATTGCTAACTTGCATCATAACTATCTTTATGGGAAATAGAAAAATAATTACTGAGAGTACCAGACTAAAACTGACTTGTTTAAGGTTAAAAAGACTTTTTAGCATTTTATAATTCACCATTTGTAAACTATGTTAACAAAATTACATTATCATGAAGTTGTGAACAAATTTTAGTACGCAAGTTGCAATTTTTAGTATTTATCACATATTTCGGTGCAGACAGATTTAATCTTTATATACTAACCAGTAGCCATACTTGTAATTAATATCTTCCTAATTAAGGCAGTCATGGAAGAATGTAAAAATGAAGATGTGTGCATGCATGACTCGTGAACAATGGAGTGAATGGACACATACCTCGAACAGAATGCGGGAGACAGCATCCTTGAACTGGATCATACATGTCCAAAGCTCTTCAAGTGACCTCTCAATTATGCCACGCTGGTGAAACTACATTGCAGAATGTTCAAAAATATTTACATGCATAAATATAGGATGACAAATAATATGAAGATTTCTATATTTTCATTACTAGAAGCGACAAAGTGAAGTCATCGTCTTTAGTATTTAGAGATTGAAAACAAAATCACATACTCACAGTATGAGGGGAGTGAACAGATTAAATCCAATGCATGGAGAAGACAATGGTTAAGATTTAGGGATTAAATGATGAAATGATTTTTTTGTGTCACTTCCTTGCAAGCTATCACGTATGAGAGGGATACAAAAAAAAGTTATTCTTATAAGCATTATATGATTATTAGGGAGAAAACAAAACAAGCAAACTCTCAAAAAAGGAAGCTTGGAGTTATGACCCATGATGAAAGTAACCCTTATTTAGCAAATACTCCGTACAAAATATATAGAATTAATTATGTTAATGCATTGGAACATATCAGAGTTTCAGGCAGTGAAATATAACACAGCAAAAAGTATTGCAATGCATTATTCTTTTGAACATCAAAGGAAACCAGTTCCTAATACAATTACAATATGGAACTCACTAAATCTTACCAAATGTTGTTGAACCAACTCTTCCTATCTAAGAATAAGAAAGACATCCAAGGAGATCTGTAATTCCATCTTATTTGAACAAACATGGCACAACTTTCAGGAAAGCTTTTGCATTCAATATTATGCCTACTTTTGAGAGAACAATGTACAGGCAAATAATTTTGATTCTCTAGCATGAGTGGGAGTGTTGAGTTACAACTCCTCAGTTGTAAAAGTTATAGGTTCTAGAACACATAAAGTCACTCCAGGCGTATTCACACATGAGGTCACCCGTGATGTCATTGATTGTTTTTAAATTTATTTATACCTTGTTACACTATTGGTATATTGTTATATTCAAATTTCCCACGTGTTATGGTCTAAGAAATGGATGTGTGTGTGTGTGCATCAAAACTTTAGAGCACGCCATATTCGTATTGTACTCAAAACAAGAAGTCATTACATTTCCTCCTTTTTTCACAAATCAATTTAGATACATATTCAGGGAATTTCTCATAACAAGAAAATGCAACAAATTGTACCAAGACACGTGAAAAGTGATGTGGCAGAGAGCTTAATTTAAGTGTATGAGGGGAACCTGCATTGACAATTGCTCCAACACTCTACAAAAGATACGAGTTCCAGAAATAACTGATTGCTTCACAACCAATGAACTATTGTCTCTCAATGATGCAAATAATGCAGGCATTAATATTGAAATATGTTCCAATGGTTTCGTGGCAATATCCTCAATCATCACCCTGTTATTCATATAAAACATCATAAATGAAGGGGAAGCACAATGCAATAATAAATGGAAGATTGAAATATCAAATTTCCATGAAGAGGACAATATAAACTACAAAAATAAACAAGTGTTTACTTATTTAGTGGCCAGTAGGTGACAATAAATCCCCCCTTCAGGCATTTTAGTGCTGACAATCCTGACAAGTTTGCACAGCTATGCAACTAACTTTAATTCAACAGGTAGTATAAATTTTGTTTTTGTGGATTACAAGAAAATGCAGTTAAGAATCAAGACTATTTAAGTTTATTGAAAAATTAGTACTCGCTAGAGTATAAGCAATGCCTCTTGGCTCTTGCAAAGCAATGGGTTTTAACTCTTAACTTATTATAAGTCTCATTGTTGCATTACTCTTGATGATGTCAAGGAAATGAAACTAAAAGTGTTTTGTTCGTTACGTGCTTAATGGGAAAATTTTCTAATTTAGAAAAAGAATATTGATGGCAAGGCACATGTTGGCTATGCAGAATTATAGACTTTATTCAGAGGCTAGTTATCACTAGGGGTGTTCGTTTGGAAAGACTGAATTACATGCGGAGCCAATGTAGATTGGCTTGGTTTGGTTAAAACCATAATTATTTTGGTTTGGTTATTGGTAAAACCTAAAGAAAAAACAAACAGAACACATTATGCACCATAAGAACCAAACACTGATAAATTTTTTAAATTAAAGTTGGCCATCACAGGGAAGTAAATCACCGTGGTGTCTGAAAAAACATCTCTTTCCTCTGAGGTACTTGGCAATTTTGAAATTCACTGTGCATTTCCACAGATTCAATTGCTTCAATTTTTCCCATACCTGTGAGAAGTTAAAAAACAATGAGTAGATAAAAATGACAAAAGTCTTGTAAACAATGACAATTTAGAATTTATTGTAAAACATTACTATTGAACAGATAAAGAAAAATTAATGAAAATGGAAATACATTATCACCTTAATTTGGAGTTTATTGGAATCATCAGGAATCTTTTTTAAAAAAGGAATAAACAAAATGCAAATTCTCTACCCTTATAAACAGAGAAATCAAAATACGCATTTACCAAATCATAAAAAAATAATATTTCTAACCTAATACACAAAAAACTGGAAAAATACAAAAACAAAAAAACTCATATCATCTCCAAAATCAAAGCTTTTCGTACACTGAACCCTTCAAAGAATAAAAAAAACAATAAAACCGAGACTCAGAAGCAAAATACAAAGCCATTTAGAAGGAATCAAAAATATCTAAGAAAGAATCAAAGATAACAAGATGCTTACCTTCTGATGGAGATTGAGTCGGCGAAGGGCGAACTGGCCTGGCGGACATCATCCTCTGATGAGAGAAGGACGGAGACGAAATCGACTGGGGGACTTTGTCGTGGGATGGTGGATGTTGGTCTCGGCTTGTATGGGCTGATTTCTTTCAAGAACCCTCTTTTGAACGGCGACGTCAACCAGGTTGATGCGAGAGATTTAAAGAAGTGTAAATGCTTTGGTAAATTTTTCGAAGAGTTCATATTAAATTGTTCCAAAATATTAGGGAGTACTCTTTTTTGGAAAGAAAAAAATCTCCAAATAGGAATAAAACATATGTCATATCTTTTTTTTGAACCACATATGTCATATCTATAAAATAAAAGATTAAATTTAAACTTCTCTAAATATCAGTACTTAACTATGTAATAAAGAAAACTTCATAAACAATATTAAGGACCTGTTCTTTAGAACTGGAATTCTTAACTTCCAGTTCTTTCAATTTTTTTCAGTTTTTTCTAATTTCTTCCAACTATATTTATTTTCTTTAAATTCTTTCTACTTTCTGACAAATCACTCTAAAAAAATATATTATTATTATTACAACTTTTTTTAATTACAACTTTTATGTTCATAACTATAGTTTATAAATTATTTCATTTTTTCATCTCACTATTTTTATGATTCACAATCATTCTTCCAGTTTCTTCAATTTTTTAATATGAATAATACAGTTTTTTGTATATTAATCTACATGAAAAATTAGGAAACTATTTAAAAAATTATGGATAGAGAGTTATATAGAATATTTTTTAATCTAAATTTATATAAGGTAAACATCAATATTTTAATCTAAAATATAAAGTATGGAATGTGGTGGTGAGTACTACATTATGAAAACCAAGAGAAAACTACATTTTGAAAAAGAAAAAATGACCCAAGAAGTGTTATATTTATGCTAATTTTATATTCTAATTATTTTTTTAAACTAGCTTTTTATATATGAAACATAATACTCGTAATATTTTTTTATCTTAAAGACAATCATTAAGATAATGTGATAACACCACCACTACTACTACTACCACCACCAACAACAACAACAATAATAATAATAATAATAATTTATAACAACAAGAATCAGAATGAGAATAATATAAAATCACACATAAAAAAATTTTAAAACTTTTTTTAAATTTTTTAATTTTTTCTAGTTTTTTCAGTTGCTTTTAATTTTTTTCAGTTTTTCCAATTTCTTCCAGTTCCTTCCTGTTTCTTCTAACATCCAGCTCTTTTCTTCCAGTCCTAAAGAACAGGCCATAAATCTCTAATTAATCTCATCTCTCTTTACCATCATGTCTCTCTCTCTTCCCTCTCTCTCATTTTTGGCCACCACCCTCGCCATTTTGAAGCGTTGCCTCCATCAAATCTACCCCAAGTGCAGCACATCACCTCCACCCCACTCCTTACAGTGCCGCCGCACCAGCTTCCCCCTTTGCAGATTTGTCACGAAGCATCCCCTGTAGATCTAACGCGCAGCGCCGCCTCTATCCCCCCTTGCAGATCTATCGCACCGCCTATATCCATTAGAGCTGGATTGCCACCAGTCGCGATGACTGTGGTTTTGTTTTTTAATTAGCTTCCAAATGCTTTATAATTGAAACTGCATCGTAGAAGTAATAAATACTTCCAACTAATTGTATTCATCCTTTTTTTTCTTCGAAAAATTGCATCTTTATTAGGCATTGGTTTTTATTTGAATTTTTCTTTTCATTTTTGTATTTGATTGTTTTTCTTTTATTTATTTTTTTGATTGTTTTTCTATTAGTTGTGTTTAAATTCTGCTCCTAATTTCAACAAAATTTGGTGATAGTGATAAGAAATTTGACATTGTATATTGGCAATCTTAACATTTAACTTTGTTTTTGACATTTTATATTGACATGGTTGGCATTATGCAATAACGTGTATGACATTATGCAATAACATGTTCGTGAGTATGCATTATCGTCTTTGAAATTGTGGCTTTGGTTGACATTGTATTGAAAGGTTTTCCATTGGCAGTGATGCCATGACACTATGGTAGCGACAATGGCAGTCCTGATCCCAACATTGGCAGTAAATTGTGACATTGATAACAGCAAAAGGGGGCGATGGAGGCGGCATCTGCAACAAATGGGGATGAGAGCGGCAGATCGTGGCGGCGATGACATCGATAGTGTCGACCGTGGTGATGTTAGTGGCAGCAACAATGTAGTTGTTTTACTACTACTTTGGTCCTTTTCCCTTTTTTGGAAGGTAGTCATCTCATTGAGCGTCACATCAATTTTTCTCTTTTCTATGGATCACGTCCATTGAGCCTATTACAGCCAATTTTTTTAAAAATGTATTTAAATGAAAATAACTTAACATAAAAATATTAAATAAATATTTCATTTAAATTAAAAATTAAATTAGCATAATGCAAAAAAAAATAAATACGAACGATAGATGGTCGAAAGGAGAGCACAGAGATGGAGGAGATGTATGACTCAAATCGTTAACAGATGTGGTGGTTGTAATGTAACTCGTTTTCTAATAATGATCTATTAAAGATGTTTATTTAAAATAATAGTTTTGCTTCCGCGTTGCATTGAATTAACTCCGGTAAACGTTTAAGTTTTAATTGAAATGTTGGATGGTTAATTAAATGTTTTAAATTTATTGGAAAATATTGTGTGAGGATACCAATCTAATAGCAACCCAGTTTGCTAACCTATTTATTCGGGTCACGCGGGTCCGGGTGTTACAGTTGAAACACTGAATTAAAACACTCGTTGATTAATCTTACTTCATTGTCCTGGAAAAGTATCGTATTTAAAGTATATGTTATTGTACGAAAATTTGGTTGATGCAACATAAAATTTATGAATTCCGGTAAGTAATTGTATAATAAAAATTGGTAAGAATAAAATAATTATTCTTACCATAATTATTTTTTAAATGAAATTTAGTGTATAATTGTATAACTTTCCTTTTTAATTACTCCGAATTTTCTAAATCTTAGGCTTTGAAATTGTTTAACTTACCTTTATTTAAAACTTACAATTGGGAATTGTATAATAGACAAAACGCTATTGCCTTAATTAAAACTTACGATAATAATGAATGTTAGATTTTAATTTTTAATACGTTAATTACTATAAATATAATTATTATAATTATAATTAAGTCACACTCCATATAAACAGCATCACCAAATTCCTTTTTATATTTTATAAAAAGGAAATTATTACCTTTATTTAAAACATACGTTAATAATGTATGTTATTACCTTTATTTAAAACTTGCGTTAATAATGTATGCTGATTTTAATTTTTAATAAGTTAATTACTATAAATATAACTGTTCGTTTATTATAGCTTTTAAAAGTGTTAATACCGTGTGATAAAACTGTTCGTTTATACCGTGAGAAAAAACTGTTCGTTTATTATAGCTTTTAAACCATTTTTTTAGATTAATAATTATTATTATTATCTTTTAGATTAATAATTAATTACCAATTATAAACGGTGTCATATTATTTATTCCTTTTTTAAAATGATTACGTGTTAAAACTAGTTATTACCGTGTGATAAAAAAGGAAGGGTACTTATTATAGCTTTTAAAACTGGTTATTATGGTGTGATAAAAAAGGAAGAGTAAAAAAAGAACTGTATCTATAGGTTTAAAACCATTTTTAAGACTAATTGTTTTAGATTTATAATAATAATTATTTTTTAGATTTAATTTATAATTTCACATTTTTAAAGGCATTGTGTGTAAAAACTAACATTAAATTTAACTTTATAATAATTAACTTGCCATTTGTAAATGTAATAACGCATGGAAAAATAAGTACAGGCGCAAGTTTTTAATAATTATTATTATATTTTTCGGCAACTTACCATTTTAAGTGAACAATTGCCATTTGTTAATGTAATAAAAATTACCATTTTAAGTGAACAATTGCAATTTTTGTAAATGTAATAACACATGGAAAAATAAGCACATGCGTTTATGTTTGTAATATTTATTATTATATTTTCGGAATTTACCATTTTAAGTGAACAATTGCCAATTTTTAATGTAATAAGGCATGGGCGGGGAAAACAAAGATTGACTCCATGACTTTTTAAATAAAGTATGGATGAAGTCAAAATGTTACCATTTCAATTCTTTGTTACTCCTTTTCAATATTGTATTTTTGTTTTGTACGGTATACTTGTGTTCAAAAAATTGTGATAGATTTAATTTTTAATGTCTACTTTTATAACATTTGATTATTAAATACGAATTACTTGTATATATTTATACATTCAAAAGATAAATTTTAAAAATATCAAATTGGATCATCACTCGCATCACCGATTTAGCGTGCAACTTGGATTGGATAAATTTTAAAAATAAATTTGATTTTTAATGCCCATCCACAATTGCTGCGAGCAACTTGGATTCAATCATCACTCACATTACCGATAGAGATCTTTGGTTCTCTCCTTCTTTCACAATTACTCCCTTCTTAATCCAATTTTAACTTTTTTTTTTGGTTAAAATTGATAAATTTGGGCCCCAAATTAAATAAAAATAATATTAGGTATTGATACAAAAATAGTTTTATTAAATTTTTTTATATAAGATATTTTCAAAATATTATTTTATCTAATAAATAGACAATATATGTTTTATTTAATTATAAGTCAAAGATTGGATTGAAAGCATATGATTCAGTCTGTTGGAAGGCTATGATTCAAATTATGGTGCTTCTAAATTTCCCTCATCAATTTGTGTTTTGGGTGGAACAATGTATTCCAACACCTTCATTAAAAAGAGCCGGATGTTAGAAAAAACTGAAAAAACTAGAATAAGTTAAAAGAAACTAGAAAAATGGAAGAAATGGAAAAAACTCGAAGAATTGCAAGGAGTTGAAAGGAACTCGAAAAACATCAAAAAAATTGTAAAACCTAAAAAATATCAAAAAAATTTATTTTAGTGTGTATATATTATTCTCATTCTAATTTTTGTTTTAATAAATTATTAATAATATTATCATCATTACGTTATCTTAATGAATGTCTTTAAGAAAAAAAGTATTGTTATTTTTCATACACAAAAACTAGTGGCAAAGACTGACTGGTTAGTGGCCAATATAACTGATAGAATCACATCTTGAGCTATTAAACATATGTCTTATGCAGGTAGATGTAGAATTATTAGTAGTGTAGTCTTTGGTATTATGACATTTTGGTGTAAGTTATTTGTTATCCCAACAAAGGTGATGAGAAAGGTGCATAGTGTATGTAAGAATTTCCTATGGGGAGCTACTGCCAGTTATGCTACCAGACATTTGGTCAACTGGGATGATGTTTGTATGCCCAAATCTATTGGGGGATTAGGACTTAGAAATGTGGTGCATTGGAATAGGGCATATGTCCATAATTATTGGTGAGATATTTCTAAGGACAAAAATAACTTATGGGTGAAATGGGTACGTGGTAGGTACATTAAAGGGGAGGTGACCACCTATGAGCCTGGGGGGGTGCTGCTTCTACTGGAAAAAAATCATACACAATAGGAAATGGTTTAAAAACATGGATATCTCAAAGGGTTACTCTACAGAGGTGGGTTACGCCTGGTTGCTAGGTTTGAAAGAAAAGCCTAACTGGTTCCCATTTGTTTGGAATAACCTATCTGTCCCTAAACACCAATTCCTTCAATGGTTGATATGCAAAGAAAGGGTTAGCACCAAGACTAGGCTAACAAGGTTGATGGATATTAACAACATATGTGAGCTATGTGGTGCAGTTGAAGAAGACTTGGATCACCTATTCTGTAAGTGTAAAATCACTAAAGAATTACTTGATAGAGTCTTTTCTTGGTTGGCATGTAGAATGTAGGGAGATGGGGTGCAAGATATGAGGCTATTGGGAAGGAGGAGAAAATAGGTCATAAGTGCCCTATTCCGCGGCTTGCTATGCCATCTGGAGAGCTAGAAACAAAATGTTCCATTCTAAGAGAAGGCCACTGGTGGAGGAAATGCTGAATTGGATGCAGTTTACCATTACTACATGTTGGGCAAAGAAGGGGAAGAAGAGATTATGAACTTGCGGAGTAATATTTGATTAGTGTTGCATGTAATAGTAGTTTTTGTGTTATAATGTAAGCTTGTTTGAGGTGGTTGAATGAAGAATGTGCATTTGGTTCAAAAAAGTTAAAGATTGAAAACAGTTGGCTTAAAAAAATCAAAATTGGATAAATACTCTGAGACGGAGGTGATAAGCTCCATTATCTTCAACTTATTCTTATTATTCTCATAAATACCTTTAAATATATTGAGTAAATATATTTTAGTTTTTTCTGTATGTTTATTCTTATTTTACTCTTTTTCCATATTTCAAGGAGAAATACTCACCATTGCTCCCAAAATTTCACAATTTAAAAAATATTTTAAAATTTAATAAATGACATCAATACACCAAGAATTTTATATGTTTACACTAGTGCTAATCAAAGACATGTTTACATCCGAACATTTTAGAGCACAAATATAAACATTATCAATTGAGGGAGCATGGATCTAAATTTTGAAAGCATTTTTGAATATTAACATTTTATAAGATTGCAAAACTCTAGGAGTAATGCTGTGCACTTTTCTTTCTTTTTATCATATTGACTCATCACACCACTCCATCACAATCCAATTTAGGCTACTTATTGGCCTTTTCGATTTAATTTACTTACTAATGGCAAAATGGGAAGTGAAACTCTTATTTAATAGACAATGCAAATATTAGTTACTCATGGTATTTTAGTCTTTTAATTAATTTTATTTATTTGTGTGTTTTTTTTATTATTTGTTTAGATAAAATATTCTTGTCACATCTTGTTTTATACTTCTTTCGCTCCAAAAAAATTGCAATATTACGCTAAATGAAGTAAATTTTTGAATTTTTCAACTCATTTTATATAAAGATTTGTATATAAATAAGGAATAATCTTACATATTTAAAAACCACGTCAAAAGTTTTACAAAAAAGGCAATAAGAATATTTTAATTTATCAAATAATTAATGAAAACACGAATACAAACAAAAAAAATTGATTTTTAAATAGTAAAGTGTTGCATTTTTTTGGAACGGAGAGAGTATCTGTTTGTCCCAGATATAATGAAATGTATTCTATTATGGTTAGACTTTTTATCACTTTTTCTATACTCCCTCCGATCCAATTTAAATTGATTGTTTTGGTTTACGATTTTTGACTGAAATTATTTTCAAATCATTTTAAGTGAAAAATCGTGTAGAATTTATAAATTAAAATTATATATCTAAAAACTACATCAGAAAATCTACAAAACAAGTGGTGACATGACTATGTTATTTTATCAAATAACTAATAAAAATTGGAAAAGAAAGTAAATAAAGTTTGACTCTATGAATAATAAACATGCCACTTAAATTGAGACAAAGGGAGTACATATTTTTGTTAGCCACTTGATAAAATAATATAGTCATATCATCAGGTTATTTGTTTTGTAGAGATTTGATGTAATTTTTAAATATGTAAATTTTATTTTTTTAATTCCACTACAATAGACTTATAAATTGAATGAGAAATAACTTCATTGTAAACCAAAACAAACTACATAAAATATGACGGAGAGTGTATAATTTTTATGGAGATTTAAAATAAGTAATCTTTCTTTTTTATTTTTATACCAAATTGTAAATATAATAATTTTATAAGAGACTCAAATTTGTGCATTGTTCGAATTGAAATGATATTTTTGACACACGTTTATAAAGTCTATATGTCTAATTTCAATTTAGGTTTTGTTGAGGAATATCATTTTCAATAATTATTAGTCTTTTGAATAAATTTTTATTGATGTAGTATAAAAAAAGTTATCGCTAAACACTATCGTTAATTTTTTTTCAAAATATTAACGCTATGTCCAAACACACTCATAATGTACAAAGAGGAGTATTTTCTCAATTAAAAAATAAACTTTTTTTTAAATACACTAGATGATTCGCATTGTTTTTCACCATATACTCCATCCTTTTCTTAAAATATTTTCTCTTTCATTTTTTGTTTTCCTTGAAACATTTTCACTTTTTATTAAAAATCACTTTACCTTTACTTTTTCTAACCTTACATATCACATCATACTTTTTTCACTAATAATTTATCCATCACATCTTATTTTTCTCAATTACCTGAAATACAAAATTGGAAAGTCAATCACAAATATATAATCTTTATTTCTCCTAAAATTAAAAATAAGAACCGTTTTATGAAACGAAATAAGTAGATTTTACTCCTTTGAACCAGATCGGTAAGAAAAATACTCCGTAAGTATATCTCCAATGGAGAGTATAAAGTGTATATTGTTAAATATATACACTTTATAGTTTATACACTACAAGTCTACAATATACATATTTTTACCTCTCTAATGGATAGTGTAAAAAATGCACTATAATCCAAAATGTAATTCTCAACTTCTACATATACACTCTACTATTCACATATTGTAAAATTTTTATTACGAAAATAAACATAATTCATATTGTTTATTTTGCTTATCCCATATAATTTATCCCATATAATTTTCTTACAACAAATGTTTTAGTACATTATTGATTTTTTAATTATATTTTCATTGACTAAATTATTTTATTCCATGTTTCTTCATATTCTATAAGCATAGTTTAAAACATACCATATACATCTTAAAAATTATAAATATTGTCACAAATAAACAACTTAAAATATTAAAATTAGATAAAAGTGCATTATATACCCCGTCCCTAAAAGATTACTACAATTTGAATTTTTTGGTCAAATTGTGGTATTCTTTGACCATAAATTGTAAAAAAATACATTTAGTTATAATGTAAATTTAGTAAAATTGAGTTTATTTTAAAATATAGTTCTGGAATATCAAATTTTATAATATTTAATTATTTTAAAATATATTTAATTCGTGATCAAATGGTGCCACAGTTTGACAAAAAAATTTAAATTGTGACAATTTTTTAGGGATGGAGAAAGTAAAAAATATAGTTGGAGTGAATATAAAAAAATAAATATGGAATATATAGAATACTACTCCTTCCGTCCCAGAGTATTTGTCCACTTTCATTTTTACTTATCATCCAATGCACTTCTTTAATCCATTTTATCTTGTAATTTGTATATTAAAACATTATATAAATTATATATTAATAATCTATATGTTAAGATAAATCAAACAAGATTACACATGACTATATTTAAGCTTACACATTGAGAAAATTTAATGAGTCAAAGTGCTTAGATGAACAATTTCAAAAGTCAAAAGTTGACAAAAAAAACTAGGAGACCTAGTGAGTATTAGTCGTGTAAAATTGAATAATCCGTATAACGTAGGATGGAACAACAACAACAACCGAGGATGGAGTAATGTTTAATTAGGGATGGAGGTGCAGACGTGCAGTACACATCCCCAATGTAACCGACACGGCGACATCATAAAGATCGACGAAATACGGAGTAACATAGTTGATGTGGCCCCCCCAATGGCCGACGCGGTTTACACCGGGCCAAACGCACCCTAAACCGACTAGGGAAGCAAAGAACCAAATACAGAGTGAGTCATACAGTAATACACGTAACTCCGCATTACTTACTGCTGCTACTCAAATCGGCAGTCTTGAATCTTGAGCACAGTATTGTGAAACCGGTGGGAGGGAATTGAGTGTCGAAGATCCAGACGCGGGGTTTTGAATTGCAGACCGGTGGGTATTATGGTTCTCGTTTGATTTCAGGAATTCGACTCCGCAGAGTGGAAAGTTCGAAACTTGGAGATCGGAGGAGGGGGGGAAGACTGGGTCTGCTCAATTCACTCGCGCCCTTGGTATGAATCAGATCTTTGTTCGTTTATTTTGCCTGGATTTTTGAATCTTGCTCTGGTGATTGAAAATGTTTGAAGGGGTTCTTGATTCTGTGATAAAGATTGGTTCTTTGAGAGCTACTTTCATTAATTGGCCAATTTCAAGACCTGGGTTTGTTTTTTTAAATTTCCCCCCTCCCTTCTTTCTTGTGTTTGAATTTTCTGTTTTTTCACATAGTCATTCATTAGTTTTTTTCCAGATGTGGTTGGGAGTTTAAGTTTTAGTGTGGCACAGATGGCGATCAGATCCCTTCTTTTCTCTTCCTGATCTATATTTAGTGTGGGCTAGTTGCTAGAACCATAGATTTGGATAGTATTGAATGGCCGGAATCTCAACGGCAGAGCCTGATTCATTTTCAAGTGCATGTTCTTATGGGAAATGAGAGATTCCTCTCTGAATTTAGATCTCTTTGAGTCTAATAATAGTTTCTAGACACAAACTTTGTCTATTCAATAGCTCCTTAGTTACTCTTTGTTCCATTTATGACCAATTTGCTTTCGAAATATACCAGCAAAACTAGTTGGAACATTGTGACGCTCTCCATTACCTTTCTTGCTAAACATGTGAGGAAACTATTTCAGGATTGTAATGGCAAGCAAACTAGCCTCTGGGGACAACCGGACTAGAAGGTCCATATCGATATTCATCATATGTGGTCTATGTTGTTTCTTCTATCTGCTTGGAGTGTGGCAAAGAAGTGGGTTTGGCAAGGGAGACAGCATAGCCTTGGAGGTGACAAGGTCTACCACAGACTGCAATGTATTGACAAACCTTAATTTTGAGACCCATCATGGTGGTCAGCCTGGCAGTGGTGATGATGACTCTGACTCAAACATGAAAAAGGATATTAAACCTTGTCATCCTCGTTACACGGATTACACTCCGTGCCAAGATCAAAACCATGCCATGAAATTCCCTAGGGAAAACATGATCTACAGAGAAAGGCACTGCCCTCCTCAAGAAAAGAAGTTGCATTGCCTTATTCCTGCACCCGAAGGGTACATTACTCCGTTTCCATGGCCAAAGAGCCGCGACTATGTCCCCTATGCTAATGCACCTTACAAGAGCTTGACAGTTGAGAAGGCCATTCAGAACTGGATTCAGTATGAGGGGAACGTCTTTAGGTTTCCAGGAGGCGGGACCCAGTTCCCTCAGGGAGCTGATAAGTATATCGATCAGCTTGCTTCAGTCATACCTATCGAAAATGGGACTGTTCGGACTGCATTGGACACTGGTTGCGGGGTATGTTTTCTGAACTATAATTTGGATCATTTTTAGGGAGTTGTTTTTTTCCTTTATGTTCTTCATTGACATTCTTATGTGGCATTGCTCATACTAATCATTACTCCCTCCGTCCCATAATAATGTTCCAATTTTGCATTATGATGTTTGACCAAAGTTGTTTTCAATTCCATATTTATTAAAGTTGGTGTATAATTAACAAATAAACCCTATTTATTTTAAAAACTACTTCAATAGTTCTACGCAAAAAGTTGTAACAAGACTATTTTATCTTATCAAATGATCAGTAGAAATAGGTAAAGAAAGTGAATATAGTTTGACCCTGCGAATAGTAAAGTGGAACATTATGGGATGGAGGGAGTAAAATACTCTGCACAGTTACCACTCCAAAAGCTAACAGCTTGTTTTGTATAATCTATGTTGTGTGTTTTTATAAGGAGTGCACAGTTACCACTCCAAAAGCTAACAGTTCATATCAAATGCACTTTTGAATCCACACAACAGATGTCACATAAGGGTACTCACGAATGCTATGAAAACATGTCTCCTAATTTGCTCCATATATATTTTTTTCCTGAAAGAGTATCTTCTGCCGTTTGCCTTACAATGTATACCAAATGCACTTGCTGTTAACGTAGGTTGCAAGTTGGGGTGCTTATCTATGGAAGAAGAATGTGATAGCAATGTCATTTGCCCCTCGAGATTCACATGAGGCACAGGTTCAGTTCGCCCTGGAAAGGGGTGTCCCTGCTGTCATCGGTGTTCTAGGGTCTATCAAGATGCCTTATCCCTCTAGAGCCTTTGATATGGCTCATTGTTCTCGTTGTCTAATTCCATGGGGGGCTGCTGGTAACTACAATTTTCCAATAGATAAAGGGCCTGTTTGGGAATAGCGTTAGTGATTAGCGTTAGCGTTTTGGATAAAATTTTAACGGTGCAGATTACTTTGAAAACGCTAACGCTAAACGCTGTCCGTAGATAGCCTTTTCAAAATGCTAACGTTGTTCCCAAACAGGCCCAACGACTTGTTTATTTACATGAAATTTTAGTATTTCTGGGTTCTAGACAGATCCTAAAACGACCTACCCTGTTAGTCCCACAAGCGGGGTCAGGGGAGGGGGCTAGACCTTACCCCCACCTTAAAAAGCTAGAGAGGCTTTTTTCGAATCACTCCCGGGTCCCGGGTCCAAAAGAAAAAACCTATAAAAGAAGGAAAATGGTCTTTATTTGTTTATTGCAGCAGTTGAATGATTTTTGCTTTTTTATTTTTTTCTTCCGTGTCAGATGGAATCCTAATGATGGAAGTTGACCGGGTTCTTAGACCTGGAGGCTACTGGGTTCTCTCTGGCCCTCCTATCAATTGGAAGGTTAACTACAGAGCATGGCAACGCCCTAAAGATGAACTTCAGGAAGAACAGAGGAAAATTGAAGAGGTTGCTAAACTTCTATGCTGGGAGAAGAAGGCTGAGAAGGCTGAAATTGCAGTTTGGCAGAAGAGGATGGATGCTGATTCGTGCCGTGCGGCACAAGAGGATTCTAGAGCTGCATTTTGTAATTCTGCAGATCCAGATGATGTTTGGTATGTCGTTGGAACTCATGTCTTGTTTGGTACAAAGAAGAAATCTTTTCTTCATAATATATTTTTCTTTTCCAGGCCTTTACAAAAATGTTCCTAGGCCTCCCTTGGCATTCTCTCTTCCACGTATATCCGAAGAAAGTTGGATACAATGGAACAATAACCCTAAAGCTAGCTAAACATTGGGCCAATAATATCATTCTTACTTACCAAACAACAGAATTCAAAATTTCCCCTTATCCTTTCCCCACTGGATTCAAATTTCATTCCTTCTATGTTCGTTTCCGCGTACCAAATGTGCCATTATAAGACCTTGACATTTCTCCACAGGAAAAAAGGAAGGACATTGTAAATTCATTCTGTTAATATTAATATTTATTTTGTTTTAAAGGTATAAGAAGATGGAGCCATGCATTACTCGATCACCAAATGCGAACATAGACGAGCACCTGAAGCCATTCCCTGAGAGACTGAATTCTGTTCCCCCGAGAATTGCTAGTGGATTAATTTCAGGAGTGTCAGCGGAGGAATACCGAGAAGACAAGAAAATGTGGAAGAAACATGTGAGTGCTTATAAAAGAATCAACAAAATCCTTGATTCCGGAAGGTATCGTAACATAATGGATATGAATGCCGGATTGGGAGGTTTTGGTGCAGAGCTTACATCTCCAAAGATGTGGGTTATGAATGTTGTGCCCACAATAGCTGAGAAGAACACTTTGGGTGTTATATATGAACGTGGAATGATTGGCATCTACCATGACTGGTACCATTCTCTCTTTTCTGCTCTCTAATAAGTAAAGTATCTTTGAGTTTAATCTGTTTGATTCCTTATATGCTTTATGGCTAAAAAAAATCAAATCTTTTACATTTGTTGCGAGATTTGCCAATTCTTTTCTCATCATCTTCAGGTGTGAAGCCTTCTCCACGTATCCGAGGACCTATGATCTGATTCATGCTAATGGAATCTTCAGCTTATACAAGAATAAGTAAGCGTTCTTCTTTTTTAAGGCACTCATAGCTCATCCTTATGGACAAGTTTTATACTCCCTCCGTCCCAAAATAAACTTCATGGTTGAACTTCACAAAGTTTAAGAAAAGTTTTAAATAGTAAAAAAGTGTTTAATTTATTAGAACATTGGTCTTAATGATGCAAAAACGGGACGCAGGTGTGAATATGAAGACATTCTTATAGAGATGGATAGGATCTTGCGGCCAGAAGGGGCGGTGATCATCAGGGACGAAGTCGACGTGCTTGTAAAGGTGAAGAAGATAATCGGTGGCATGCGGTGGGACTTCAAATTGATAGATCACGAAGACGGTCCCCTCATCCTTGAGAAAATCCTTGTTGCAGTCAAACAGTATTGGACTGTGGGTGGGACCAACTCTACTATTAGTGTAACACAATGAGGAAAAAGGAAGGAGGAGGTTGGCAGCCCTTTGAGCAGCTAGAAAGACAGAGGGGGGTGATTATTCAAGCAGTTTGATGGTAAAATCCCCTTCCATTCGTTTTTACCACACGAAGCTTTGCTCCACAAGGGGATTCGTTCGTCAATGGAGCACGCGGGCTATGGTGGTGTAATTTATTTATATCTTCTCTTCTGTTTGCTCCGGAAAATATGGAGATGAAAAAGTTAGGTTTGTAACATTTACTACGATTATGTTGTTTTTTTTGTTCTTCTTCTTCCCCTTTTGAGCGAAACCGTCTTCGATTTCATGCCAAAAAAAATGAAGCCTTTGTGATTTCAGTGAAATGTTTGAGTGCCCTTTTATTTCTTCAAGGATTGTGCCTCCATGTCTCTCTTATCAGTTATCCCATTACCAAGAGACTTGAGGAGGACATTTGTTCTTACTATTTCTCTATAATAAAGTGCTTACATTACACATTTGTTCACAATGTTACTTATTGCAAGTGAGGTTGAAGCCTGATTTATCCTTGGCCAAATAGCTCCGATGCCCCCTGTGGTTTGGAAAATTGGCACCAATACCCCCTTTATTTTCAAAACTTACTTTTAAAGTCCCCGTGGTTTCAAAACGTTGCACCCACACCCCTTCTGATCATTTTCCGGCCATTTTCCGGTGAAGAGGGGCATTTGCGCATAATTTTTAAACCATAGGGGACATTTGTGCTCATTTTTTCATTTATTATTTGTGTTTTCATTTTTTTTAAATATTTTCTATCTCTTTTACCTTTTCCTAGATTTTTTTCTAATTTATTTTCAATTTTTATAATGTTTTAAAATTTTTAAAATTTTTTGTGTTTGAAATAAAAATTAAAAAAATAACATACATTACGTCTATTTGAAATTATACATTTTCACTTTTTGTTATGTACTTATTTGGAAAGTTCAAAAAGAAAAACCTAGAAAAAAAAATAAAAATATGGAAAAATAAAATGAAAAATAAAAATACACAAAAAAGTCTGATACAAAAAAATGGCAAGCCTAAAAATGTCCTTAGAATTGAGATGTTTGAAAAAAATATTCATTTTTATTTTTGTATTATTTTGTTTCTTATTTTATTCCTCATATACAAAAAGTTTAATTTTTTCAGAAAAAACAAAAATTGTTTATTTGAGACGTACATATACATTATATGTTAATTTTTTTCAAACAAAATTAACTTTAAATTTTATGAACATTATAAAAATAATTTTAAAAAAACTTTTATTAATAAATGAAGCAAATAAAGGAAAAATGGAAAAAAACAAAAAAATAAGCGAGAAATAAATATCAGCACTGATACCCCCGTGGTTTAGTAAATATGCACCAATGCCCCCTTCTTCGCCGGAAAAATGGCCAGAAAATGATCAGAAGGGGCACGGGTGCAGCATTTTGAAACCACAAAGACTTTAGAAATAAGTTTTGAAAACAAAGGGGGTTTTGATGCCTATTTTGCAAACCACGGGGGGTACTGGCGCTATTTGGCCATTTATCCTTCCCAGTTAACTTTGTACTACCCGTTAATCGCTTTAGGCTATGTTTTTTTCGTTTAGAAAAATTAGCTTGTACTCCATAAATTTTTTAAAAACTTTTTTTGGTTTTTTTTCAATTACTTTCTATTTATTCAACCTTTTCTAGTTTCTTTCAACGACTTGAAAAATGTGTCTATATATGATGACTATACAATAATACTATATATCTAAATTTATAACATAATATTTCAAATACAGATAAAAATATATTTTTATATATCCAGAATTAGTTTTTTTATAAATTTATTTTTGTTGATCATCTAGTTGAGTGATTTTTTACACTTAATTTTTTCTGACTCTTTTTAACGCTACTCTGTCAAAGAACTAACTCAACAAAAAATGCAAGATTGTGAATTATGACTGTAGGCTCAGACTTTTTTATTTTTTAACCGGCCCCTCTCACGAGTCGATGTGGTTGTTTATAGTTTGGCACGCAAAATTTAGAACTTTTTATTAATGTGCTACTTCCTAGCACGACGAATGTTGACTATTGTTTTTCTAATGTAGCGATTTTCCTAACGGATGATTCTATATCTTTTTCTTTTTCAATATCACCTTTCATTTTGTTCGCAGAAACTAGGAATTACAATTCCGTTGTTTATACCCTACATGATTGTATCTCTCATTTAGTCTCTTCTAAATGAAAGTTATTTGTTTGGTTTAAAAAAAAAAGTAATAATTTTTTGATAAATAACATTTACAGAGTAAAATATAATCGGGACCGGCCAGCTCCTCCCTAGCCGATGGTAAATCTTAATCAACTGGTTCAGCCCTAACACCGGAAAATGGTTAAGCATTAGAAGTAATATTAAAATCAAGAATTATATAAAATAAATTATTCCTTGTAAAAATTGTTGGTTTCACTTTTTCATTTCCCCCCCAAAAGTGGATGGTTTATTTCAATTTGTGTATTTACCAATCTAACAGGAATATTGTGTTTGACTTTTTGTAATCTAATGGGTATTGACTACGGACAAGTATGACAATTACCACCCGACATTAACATGGACGCTCGATCGGATTTGAATGTTAAAAATCACAAAATGGGAGTGGACGGATTCAACCACTTCTATATTTACTCTTTTTATCCAAATTAATTTACTTACATTGACCCTACATAATTGAAAAAAAAAAGTGTGAAAAAAGTATTAAATTGTAAAAATGTGTGATTAGTCTTTTCTAAATAAAGAAAAAACCGAGAAAAATATTTTGAAATAAATGAAAATGAGAAGTTGATTTTTGTGTGAGAGAGAGAGCAGTAAAATAACACACCTCATTAAATTTTGAGTGACTATGACTGCGTTACGTTTGCCGATGTTAGAATGCATTTCGCATTGAAAGTTCAAGTAGCTTATGACCCAATCCAGTGATTCTTACTCCATCCTAAATGAGAAGGTATATGGTACAACTGGATGTACATAGAGATAGGTCTATCTGGTCATCCGAGTAGTATTCATTGTGAAGTAGAGTATGACTCATTCTCGCACAAACATAACTATTTATTTTGAAAAAGCATGGTACTCATTCTAAAATAACGTAGTACTCATTCTAAAATAACGTAGTACTCATTCTAAAATAATGTAGTACTCATTTTCATACATTTATTGAATATAATTATAATATTTATCCACAAATAACGTAGTGTTCATTCTGAATAATAATAATACTCATTCTCAAATAGCTTAATGCTCATTCTCAAATAAAATAAAACCCATACCATAAATAACCTTTTCTCTGCAACTAGGGTTTTCATCCCCCCACCTCTCCTCCCATCTACAGCGGCTTTCTTCCTTGATCTACGCGACACGACCCGCAACCTCAATCTGTTACGCTGCCGCCACCTTCGGTGCTCCTTAGATCTTCCTTCTCCATCTTTTTTTCGGATTTTTGTCATCATTGCTCCTCGTCATCTTTGCTGCTCCATCATCTTCCGTCTTCGTTGCTCCATCGTCTTTCGTCTCCGGTGGCCCGACCCGTCAAATAGAGGAGCGGCAGTAATTCTGGCACCATCCGTTCCATCTCATTCTTTCCTCAATTAGCCGGTTGTACCGAAAATTCGGCACATCGGATGTACGATATAACTTGCAATCCTAAATTGTATCATGGTATCGGAGCCAGTTTTGGCATACCTCATTTGTCAATGTGTCTGTGTAGACGTTTGTTCCCAGCGGCCGTTAGCCTTTAGCCCAGTTGTCCATATGTAGTATGTACCCAACGACGTGTGGCCCATTTAACACGATTGCTCGTCTAGAAGTTCATACCCAGCGGCTCCTGGTCCTTTAGGTGTTGGCGCTCAAAAAAAATCAAAGGATGAAAATACATTTGCAAGCGGTCAACTGATTAGATTCAAAATGGCCCGATTGCTCACTTGAGGAGGAGTGTTAGAGTCCATCCTACATTGGAAGTCCAAGAGTAAAGTAATCAATATATAAGCTCTTGAGTTGAACTAATTAATCGATTAGATCCAATCTTTTAGTGTAGTTTAACTCAAGTCCCTTATGGTCAAGTCCAATAATCCTTACCCAATCCTAGATTGTATCACTTGATGTGATTAGATTTTTTTTAAAATTTAGTCTAATCTGATTGTAAAAATTTAGATTGTATCACTTGATGTGATCATAAATTTCAATCATACTTTTTTACCAGCATTATACTTTCTAACATTTTTCTTGATTGTCATATTTGACTGTGTGGAGACTTGTGCCCAATTAGTCTCAAAGGTCAAAGATTGAGATTCAATTTTTTTCCTCTATTTTTGGGTGGAAGCGGATAGTTGAGTCCGGGAAGATTTGAACACAAATTGGACGCAATGGAAGTGTCCGTCCGAGACATGACCATTCCATGTGCATTGAGCATAGACATTAAAAATAGGTAAATGTGGTCATTATTTTTTTTGTCTGCCCATATTTGGATTATAAATTTTGTAGGTCAATTATATGGGCCAAATCAAATGTTCCGATTTTATTTTTAACTACTTACAAATTTTTTTTTATAGTCTTCAATACAACATTTTAAATATTACGAAAAAATATCTATATTTTACACTTCCTCCATCACATAAAAGTTTTTAAAGATGAAAAAGACGTTCTTTAAAAATGTATATAATTTTGTTATTATTTTCTAATTATGACTCATCTATTTTATACACCATATTCTATCTTATTATAAAGTAATGACAAAATTGGAAGACAATATCAAAATTATACAATTTTAATGCATGTCTTTTTCGTCTTTGAAAATTTCTATACGACGGAGGAAGTATTATATATAGTATACTCCATCTCGCCTACCCTCATTGCTCCATTATTTTAATTTTTTTGATCCAACTGTTATAATTATAGTGTCCACACCATAGTTAATATAATTGAGTTTACTCTAAGATATAACTTTAATACACAACTTTTTACATGATTTATTTAAAACTATATTTAATTTTTGCTCAATAAGTGTTACTGTTTGACTTAAAAATAAAATAGGGCAATAATTTTGGGACAAAGAAGACATATTATAAAAATATGATATTCTAAAATAGATTTCAAAATAAACAAAAATGGGAGGACGTTGGATAAGGCGAACAAAGCAAATACACCCAAACACTCTAAGATAAGACAAATCTGGAGATTTTGAAGAAAGAAGTTCATATGGAGATTTACCTTGCAAAAGAGGAGTCGGAATACGGTTTATAAGATACGTAGTATACAGCTGTACTGACACACTCCCCCCCAAAATTCAATCGGCAAAGAGGCCTGAAACATAAGAAATCGGGCAACATTAAGGATATGACGACGTTTGCGCTCGACCCGACCATTTTGCTGTGGGGTATTAAAACAAGAAGTTTCAATTATAACACCAATATCATTATAAAACCGACGCAAGGGTTTAGGCCCCGTTCCGTTCAACTTATTTTTTC